CCGTCTTCATTAGCTTGTCCCCTTCCTTCCTTCCTTCTTTTCTTCCACCCTCATGATGTCCAGCTCGCTGTGCAGAAGTATGAGGAGCTGTTCCCCGCATTCTCTGGTTCCCGGGAGTGCACGCTGATGAAAGTGAGTGCTGGGTGCTCAGCACCCTCTCCCCACCCTTTCCCTGCCTCTGGGCCTGGAGACTCAGCCAGGACTTGGGGCAGAGGACACCTGGAGTCTTAGGTTCTCCTTACCTACCGTAATCACCAACTAGGGAGGGTTCTTTTTTTTTTTTAATTTTTATTTTTATTTATTTATGATAGAGATAGAGAGAGAGAAAGGCAGAGACACAGGCAGAGGGAGAAGCAGGCTCCATGCCGGGAGCCTGACATGGGACTCGATCCCGGGACTCCAGGACTGCGCCCTAGGCCAAAGGCAGGCGGGAAACCACAGAGCCACCCAGGGATCCCCACTAGGGAGGGTTCTTAAGGGTCTTTTGTTTTTGTTTCATTTTTCCCTCTTCTCCCATTTGGGCCTCTGTTCTCTGTCAATGAGAGAAGGTTCAGGTGGTGATGGAGGTAGGGGCAGACCTAGGAGGCTCTTGAATGCACCCGGGCAGGGCTGGAAACCGCCCCTTCCTCCCTCCCAGCACAGGAGCCCCCAGCCCACATCCCCCGATGGTGTGTGAGGGCCAGCCTTGGCCCCTAACCCCTGCCTGCCTGCCATCTTCTTGCAGAAATTGTTAGATGCCCATGAGGAGCAGAACATCGACAGCTACACCGAGGCCGTGAGTAGCCTGGGGGCGGGGGGGCAGGATGGAGGGAGGCTCCCTGCTGAGACATGCTCTCCCCGTGAATCCCACCCTTTCTCCCACCCTTTCTCGCCTGGCCCTGGCTGTGAATTCCTTTCTCCTGTCAGCCCAGAATCCTCAAAGGGAGCCCCAGGGATACAGGAGGTGTTCCCCCTGTATTAGAAACCCCCCCTTGGAGGCAGAGCTGGGAGGCAGACCCGTGTCCATCTATCTGTTCCTGAAGGCCAAGTCCTTTGCCCCATCAGAGTGCATCTAGGCTGCATCTGTCAAGTGTGGCTCCCGGGTACCCCTCAAGAACCCTGTACCACCCACGATAACAGAGATCAAAGTCTCTCTGGTCCACCCTGCCCCAGACAGTGGGCAGGACATCAGGAAGCTCAGCCATGGAGAAGAGAGAAGTGGGGCCACAGCAGGGTGACAAGGTGCAAGTTCTCTCTCTGACTTCCTTCCCCGTGGCACTTGGAACAGGCCCTCCATCTCCAGGACTGTTTCCCACCCAGAAAACAAGAAAGCTGGACCATTTTATGCTGGAGCATCTTTTTCTTTTTCCCCAAGGCAGCCTTAGAGGGAGCGCCCCTCCCTTCGCTCCTCCTCAAGGAGGCTGGCTGGGACACATCTAGAGAATTTGGGGACCAGAAACTCGGACTGGGGACAAGGAGGGAGCCAGGCCCAGGTGTGGGACCAGCCCCCCTGTCACTTTCCCTCCCCTCCACGTGTCACAGGTGAAGGAGTATGACACCATCTCCCGGCTGGACCAGTGGCTCACCACCATGCTGCTTCGCATCAAGAAGACGATCCAGGGGGATGAGGAGGACCTGCGCTAAGCCCCACCCAGCCCCCTGGCACCTGTCTTCCTGCCCTGTCTTCTCTACCCCCGCGCCCCTCCAGCGCGTGAGCCCAGAGAGAGAGGTGGGGCCGAGACCTTGGCTGTGAGACCTTCCTTCCCTCCCCGTAGAGGAGTCTCCCCAAGACACAGTGCGGGCTCAGCCCTGCTTCGGGGCTCCTGAGGCCGGCCGGGCCTGCTGGCTGGACAGACCCCTCCTCTGTTCTTGCTGCATCCCTCACCTCCTGCCCGTTTATTTAAGCCCCCCAAAGATGCCCCTTCTCCATCCCGAAACACAGAACCTGACACAGACCTACTTGCTGTGGGTGCTGCCAGGGGTGGGGGTCAGCACCTGGTCCCCCATCTCCTGAGCCACAGAGGTGTGAGGCTGGCTTTGGTCTTGCCCACTTGTCCTCCAGCCCAGCTCCGAGCACATGTAGCCACTGAGATTTGCTCTCACCTCAGGGGTGGGCTCCTTCCCCACTAGTGCCAGGAACCACCACCGACCCCCAGCCTCCTGCAGCCTTGACCTCTCAGGATAGACCCCAGGCCCTGGAGCTCAGAGGGTCACCCCTGCACCCACCCCTCCATCTGCTCCTTCCCTAGTGCTTTGAGGTTTTGTGGTTAGAAGCTGCAGCTGGCCTAAGGAAGAAAATAAAAAAGAACACTGCATGAGTCTCTCTTTCTCCTCACGTCTGCTGCCCCCTTCTCCCTTAAGGGCTGCTGTCCTGTCTTCCTGTCCCTCCTGGTCCCCACCTGGGGCTCCAGGCACACGGTGGGAAAGAAGAGGGCGAGCATGACTGGGAGGGCTGTGTCAGAGGCCCTGGGGATGGGTGGCTCGGGGAGGAGTCACGGGCTTGAGAGTCTGAGAGTGCCTGGCTTGATCCAGTGGCATCTGGGTTCTGCAGGCCTCGTTTTCCAACAGTGGGATGGTGGGTGGCAGTACCAGCCCTCAGCGAGCTGGAGAATAGAGGGTAACCACAGTGGTGGGGAAGGAGGATGGCAGAGGGCTGCTGAACCTCACGGCCTCCCCTCATGTCCACGCTTCCCTGGAGGGAGGGTTGAAAGCCCCAGTGGCATTTGTTCTAGGTGTCCCAGAACAAAGGAGGAAATGACTTAGTTGAACAGGGCACAAAGTCCAAGTGGGCATGTCAAGTGGAAGAGGGCATGACAGGAAGGAGCCCTCTGCCTGGGAAAGGTGGACAAGAACCACCTGCCACCTCCACATTGCCTCAATGTAGGCTTGCATGGAGGTGAGCAATCTGATGTGTGTGCTATGCCAGGCACTGGGATGTGGCACGGGGACAGAGCATCCAGAGCACAGAGCCACCCTAGGATGGGATCTCAGGAAGCAAGGGTGGGTGGGCAGGATACAGAGGAGGGGCCACCTGGGAGACCAGGTCAGGCTCCTGGAAGAGGTACTGTAGACTAGATTCTGGAAGATCTAGAGAGGTTCAGGTTCACCGTGTCGAAAGAATGGACTACGGCACTGTGCCCTGTCTGGTCCCCTGCATCTCCTCCCACAGCTTCAGTGGATGGATTGATGATGGTTGCCTAGAGGTCAGCGAAGACTCCTGAAACCTGAGATTGATTACTGATGTCTGCCATGGGCACAGGCTGAAGGGTAAGTAGCACCACAATCTCTTTTCTGCCACCGGTGACCTCAACAGTGAGTCTCGTCCCTGGCTGTGCTTCAAATCATTGAAAGCACACAAGCTTGGGTCACAGCATGATAAATTGTGTTTTGAAGTTCCCCACTGTCTTTTGGGGGTTTTGTTTTGTTTTCCTGAAAATGCCACTGCTGATTCACAGGGTGCAGCTAGAGGTAGAGATCACTGAGCAGGACAACTCTTTCTTCCGAAGCCTATAACTTCATTTATTCACTCATTGGATATTAAGTCAATGTAGTTTAGAGGTCACCATGTGAAGGGAGACAAAACCTGAAGAAGAATTTCTTCAGAAGCAGAATTAGGCCCCACATTCAGTTGACTCAGCAAGTATCTACTGATCACCTACTGTATGCCATGACCCTGCCCTCCAAGAGGTTTTACTCACCAAATCCCGAAGTCTGGAATAGACACCAGCTCCCCTTCTCCACCCTCCAGATCCCGCGTGCCTTTGAGAACTTTCCTCTTGTGTCTCTTACGTAACAATGTCCTTGGTGCCTGGCAAAGGGGCTGGCACAGAGTTTGTGGATTTCTAATGTATATTTACTGGATGCTTGCTTTGTGTCAGGCCTTGTGGCCCAGGTGCTGGGGATCTAACTGAGACCAAAGGAGATCCAGTCACAACCTTCACAGATCTTGGAGTCCTTGTTCATGTGTGTGTGTGTGTGAGTGCGTGCACTCGTGCTTTCTGCATTGGTGGGTGTGTACATGGGTAACAGAAGATTACTCAACATGGCCAGAACAATTGGCCAACTCATGTCTTCTGGAAATAAGGTACAGGTGTGTCCAGAGTCCCCAAACCCCTGACGCCCTTCTAGCCCCCCCCCCAAAAAAAAAAACAAAACAAAAAACCCACACGTTTATGAAGACCCCAGAGTTAGAAACGCTGAGTTAACATCCAGTCTCCACCACTTCCTAGTAATCTCAGAGCCACAGTTTCATCCTCTATAAATTGGGGTTGGAAGGGTTCATTTAGATTGATGGGTAAAGGACCACCTGGCACACAGGAAGTGCTCAATAAATGCTGAGTAAATGAATAATGCAGAGTAACAACAGCTGGAGGGGAGGGGTCGGTGTCAGGATTCAGAGATAATCAGGCTGACACGACTGGCACAAAGTAGGTATTCAGTGAAGGAGGTGGTTATTTGCCAGGACAGCCAGCCAGATCCTTTTTCCTTGAGTAGGAACGCATTTCACCATTTTAAAGGTAACATGAGATAGAACGATCTTGTTTGGATTCCCGTGTGCTGCTTACTGGCTGTGTGATCGTAGACAAATTACCTCCCGCGCTTCGATTCCTTCATCAAACATAGTACCTACTTGAACCTGCTTGTGAGTTTGAAATAAATCAATAAATGGAAAGCACTTAGAAGCCAGTAAAGACTGGCACGTCCTTCCTGGCACGTAAGGACTATACTGCGTTTTATGATTAATATTCTATCTTCCATACTGCCCACGGAGAGGGCCACCCCCTCCCATGTTCAGGAGCCTGTGGGAGCCCCCTCTCTGGGCCTGTAAAAGCCGGTAGGAGCGCGCAGGCGCGATGGGGCAGTCCTAGGGGAAGCCCGGGCAGCCCGGCGGGTGGCCATCTTGGTAAGGGGCAGCGACGGCAGCTTCTTGACGTCATCAGTGTGCGCGACGGGCGGGCACCAGCGGTCCAGGTCGCTTCGGGAGCGGTGGGTGGGGTGGGGCAGGGCGGGCGCCACCGGTGGGGTGAGTGGTTGAGGGGCGTGATGGGGGAGGCGGCCGTGGCCGCGGGGCCTTGTCCGCTGCGGGAGGATAGCTTCACGCGCTTCTCGTCGCAGAGCAATGTGTACGGGCTGGCGGGCGGCGCGGGCGGGCGCGGAGAGCTGCTGGCCGCCACCCTTAAAGGCAAGGTGCTGGGCTTCCGCTACCAAGACCTCCGACAGAAAATCCGGCCTGTGGCCAAGGAGCTGCAATTCAACTACATTCCCGGTGCGTGGCGCCGTGGGGTTGAGGGGCCGGGTATGTGGTGTTGAGAAGGCTTCTGAGGCTCTGAGCTGGGTCACCATGATGGGAGGATGGGATGGGGTGATTGAAAGGGATCAGGGCTGATCATCAGGACATATTGGTGTCAGTGGATAGGTCAGACCCAAAGGTTAGGATCCCTCATGCCACGGTTATGATGATCAGGACTCACATGGACCCAGAGATGATGGTAATTGCTGTGGTCAGAGATGAGTGAATCCCAGAGGTCAGGGATCATCATGAGTGAGGATATGGGGGTCAGGAATCTTCCTGACCTGAACCTTCAACTGTCCCCTCCCAGTGGATGCAGAGATTGTCTCCATTGACACCTTCAACAAGTCACCCCCAAAGCGGGGCCTGGTTGTGGGGATCACGTTCATCAAGGTACCCAGGCCCCCTCCATCTACCCATGCCCTCCTCCTTACATGAACAGAGGATCCCACTGCTTCTGACCCCAATCCCTCTGGCTACCCCTACTCTCCTCTGAGGCCAGTTTCCTACCCCAGGATTCAGGGGACAAGGGCAGCCCCTTCCTTAACATTTACTGCGACTATGAGCCTGGCTCTGAGTACAACCTTGACTCCATTGCCCGTAAGTGTGGCCTCGAGGGAAGAAGGGAGGGGGACGATGGGAGGGGGCACCTGTCAGGTCCCCTGTGCCCATCTGTGTGTGCTCCCCTTACAGAGAGCTGCCTGAACCTGGAGCTCCAGTTCACTCCTTTCCAGCTGTGCCATGCAGAGTATGTAAGCCGCAGGTGTAATACAACAAAGTGTGCTCATGTGTGGCCGTGCACGCGTGTATTGGGGAGGCTTTAGCAAACAAGGCAGCAAACCTACCTGTAGACAGTCAGACTCTGGTTTTGTTTTTTAGAGCATTGTGCTTTTAAAGTGGCTATGGACCAGCCTCGGCCCTGAACTAGATAATCAGAGCTAATTGAGCACCTGTGTTTTAGACATCTAGAACTCTCAGGTACTGATGTTCTAGGTTTTGATATAGCAGAATCCAGAGATGCTAAGTTTTCTAGAGTTGTAAGCTCTGAGATTCCAAGATTTAAAAGTTCTGGAGATTCTGTAGTGATAAAGTCATTTTCCTATTTCAAACTCTCATATTTCAAGGAGATAGAATATAGATCATCTAGAATGTGAGGTTCTAGAATCCCAAAGTATGAAAATTCCACTTTAGACCTCTGAGTTCCATTCTGGAACACCAGTGGTCTAGCATAGCCATTGACCAAGTTTTTCTGTTAGGGGCTAGACAATCTCTGTTATAACTACTCAAGTCTGCCACTGTTGCAGGAAGGCAGCCATTGATACTGTGTAAATAATTGGTATAACTGTGTTTCAGTAAAACCTTATTTACAGCATTAGGGGGTAAGTTGGATTTGGTCTGTAGGTCATAGTTTGCCAACCTCTGGTCTAGCAGGTGAGAATTCTAGAAGCTGATGTTCTGGATCCTGGGATTTGGATGTTCTGACATTTTATGACTGTGAATATATCCATGATGGCAATTTCTAGAAATTCTAGTATTTCAAAGGAAATGGAAAACAGAATTTCTGGAACACCAGAGTTCTAGATTAAATAAGTTCTAGTGTTCTAGAACATGGAACACCGGAGCCCCATGTTCCATGCCTGAATCCACACCCAGAGTGAGGATTCCGGCAGGTGAGAACTCTAGAAACAGAAGGTTTCTGTTATTCTGAGGTTGGAAGGTTCTACACATGGACTCTACCACACTGGGGTTCTAGATTTCTCTGCTTTCAGGGTCCAGGTCGGGAATCACCTGGAGACAGTGTTTCTCCTGAGTGGGAATGACCCAGCCATTCATCTGTACAAGGAGGTGAGGCAGAGGGAGGCTTGGGGGGTGTAGAGCCCTGTTCAGGTGGCCATGGGCTGGTGCTGGGTATGAGGCTGGCCACTGACTCCCAAGGTGGGGGGGGGGTCGGTCTTGGTTCCCCCAGAATGAGGGTCTGCATCAGTTTGAAGAACAGCCGGTGGAAAACCTCTTCCCAGAACTCACGAACCTGACCAGCAGGTAAGAGCCCCTGAAAGAGGCCCAGGGGACCAGGAAAGGTGGCTTCAGAGAAATCGGGTGGCGGGAAAGCCCTTAGAGACAGCTGGGTTGGAGATGACCTCAGAGAAACTGGGCAGGGGAGGGGAGTTGAGCAAACTCAGGCTATGGATAGGACTCCGGAGAAGTTGGTCAACAGTGGTGATCCCAGAGAAAACACAAAACGGACTCAGTGAAATCAGGTGATAGCAATCGAGCCCTAAGAGAAAGTGGGCAGTAGAGGTAACCTCAGAGATAACAGGCCTGGCGGGGTCCCAGGGCTACAGAAACAGAATGGGTGCTCCAGGGGAGGCAGAATATGGGGCAGTACCTGGTGACACTCTCCGGCCCCTCTGTCCACCTGCCCCCACCAGTGTCCTCTGGCTTGATGTCCACAACCTCCCCGGCACATCCCGGCGACTCTCCGCTCTTGGCTGCCAGAGTGGTTATGTCCGAGTTGCTCACGTGGACCAGCGAAGCCAAGGTGATGGCCGGAATGGGGCCTGGGACAGGGAGCTTAGAGCAGGGGTCTGGGGCAGGGCCCTGAGTCCTCCCCCTCTGCACAGAGGTTCTGCAGACATGGACAATCCTGCAGGACGGCCCCATTTCCCGCGTGATCGTGTTCAGCCTCTCGGCGCCCGAGGGTGAGCTCCAGACCTGGGTTGGGGTGGGGGGGCGACTATGCAGGCTCAGCTCCCCATACCCAGATCCATGCCCCTCTCCCAAAGTATCCAAGCCCCCTGCACCACCACCCCCGCCATCCCTCCCATGCCCCTCCCTGCCCTCTGTGCTTTCAAATTCACTTCAGTGACTTGCCCCTGTGGTCTGATCTCAGACGTTCCCTGGAGTCTTTCCCCTGGTGGTGGAATCCTCAGCCTGCACACTGACTTCCTCTGATCCCTCTCACTGGCCTCTTCATTCTGTCTCTTGCTGTGATCTAACCCCAAGCTTTCCTCCGGAGACTCTGCGCTGCCCTCCTACTCCTGCTAGGGCTCACCTCTCCCCTCACGCGGTGCTCTGTTCCTCTTGCTGTGCCCTGGCCTTTTTTGGTGCTTCCCTTTGCCTGACCCCTGCAGGCTGCCTTCTGCCGTCTGGTTGGTCTTCACTTCTCTCCCTCCCACTCTGGCCTCACACCTGCTCCTCCTCCTGGCATCTCCCCTCACTCATGGGCTCTTCCTCCTCTCAGGGAGCAGGGGTGTGAGGAGGAGCCTGGAGCCTGTCCCCTCACGCCTCGCCCCCTGCATGTCCCTTCTCCAGAGACCAAGGACCGGCCACCACAACAGGAGGAGTACAGCGTGCTCGTGGCCAGTATGTTAGAGCCAGCCGTGGTGTACCGGTGAGGGGCCTCAGCGGGAAGTCCCCTTGGGGGAGGTTGTTCAGGGCTGGGCAGGTAAAGGTGTTCATGCTCCAGGGAGGGCAGTGTGAATGTTTGGGTCTAGAACTTACAGGAGATACATTGAGCCTTTGGGATGGGCACCTCGATGTCTCCTCTGCCTGGATAAGCATGTTGGCAAATGTTTAACAACTGGCTCCATGGGTGAGAAAGCCCCAATTTCATAGTGTTCGCTGATCCACTCCCACCATGGTGGATTTTGAGCACTCACATGATGCCAGCCAGCCAGCAGAATTTCTAAAAATGTCCCAGTCTGCTCTTGTGAGCCAGTACAAGCCGGCTGTGGCTCACCTGGAGGGCAGCAGAGATGTCCAAGCTGGGACCAAGCTCCCCTGGCTCTACAGAGGCAGCATCAGTGTCCAGCCTGGAGACAAGGGATGTCACCAGAAAGAGCAAAGTGGGCCTCTGTTTGGGAGGGAGATGGTCCCGCCTTCAGGGAGCAGAGTGGGTGTCCCTACTGGGGAATAGCGGGTTGACAGTCTGAGCGAGCAATTTGAGTTCCCTTTGGTGGAGATGAAGAAGTCCAGGTCGGAAACCAGGGTGTCCTGGCATTGGGATGAAAAGCGTGACCAGACCTGGGATGGGGAGCTACTGTGTGGGCACCCAGCCCAGGTCTGTCACCAAGGGTGACAGACACTGGTATGACCTCAGTCTTCCTACCGCCTTCGGGACCCACAGGGACCTGCTTAGCCGGGGCCTTGAGGACCAGCTTCTCCTGCCTGGCAGTGACCAGTTTGACAGCGTCCTCTGTGGCCTGGTCACCGATATAGATTTGGATGGGCGACCTGAAGTCCTGGTGGCCACCTACGGACAGGTGGGACCTGAGGGATCGGGGCCACCACCACCTATCCCCTCCCACTGCCCTACATCCCTGTGTGAGCCTCACCCCTTACCTCCTGCAGGAGCTGCTCTGTTACAAGTACTTTGGCCCAGAGTCTGGGCTGCCTGAGGCCGAGCGTGGATTCCGCTTGCTGTGGCAGCGGGGCTTCTCCAGCCCGCTGCTGGCCATGGCACACGTGGACCTGACCGGGGACGGGCTGCAGGAGCTCGCCGTGGTCTCCCTGAAGGGTGTGCACATCCTGCAGGTAGCTGGGCAACTCGGGTTGGGTTCCCCTCAAAGCAGAGCCTGAGATGGGGATTTTTGCACACCTGTTTTGTCACAGGCGCATTCTCCCAGGAAACACGGAAAGGGATGGGAAGAAGCCACACTAGGGGATGGATTCAAGGGACTGACCCCACAGGAGCTCTGTAGCCTGAGTCCACCCTCAGCAGGGGGACCCCTGGTTGCAGGCCCTCCTGGAGGAGGGAGGAACTGTTTCCGGGAGGGGGTTCTGTTGGCCAAGGACAGTCCCCGAAGAGGGGGCCGCTGTTGGGGAGGGCGCCATCCTGGCAGAGGGGATTCTGACGTGGCATCTGTCAGTCCCTGCCTACCCTCAGCCTCCCTAACTTCAGTCCTTGATTTCTTGTGCTTTGTCCGACTTTCTCCTTGCGGTAATTTAGCCCACATCACCCCCACCCCCACCCCCGACTCCATGACTTAAACCTCGGTCCTTCCACTGCGGTCTAACCTCTTCCATGGCAGGAGGGGACCTACCCTCCCCTGTACCCTAATCTCCAGCCTTCCGGCATCCAGTCTCTGGTTTTCCACTAGCTCCTAACCTCGAATCTTTCTGCTTTGGCCCAGCCTCTGAACTTTCAGTTATGGTCTGGTCCTTGAGCTGTGGGGTCCATAGTTTGGGCCTTCTGCTATATTTTCACACCCCCCACCCTGCCATAGCAGCCTACCTGCCATAACCCCTGTTAGGGTCTAATAATCAACCGTGTCCATAATCCAAGGTCCAAATTGAACCCTCCATCGCAACTAATATAGTCTAACCTCAGATCTTTTCCCTGTGGCCCAACTGCCACCTCTTGGGCTGTGGTCTGCCTTTGTTTTCTGGCGTGTTGTTTGCCTTCTCTTTGCCTTTGATCTGCTTTTCTATGTGGTCTAGCCCGGGTTCTTTTCCTCAGAGGCTAATGGTACTGCCTCCTCTACAATCTTTGCTTGGGTCTTTTCCTGCAATCTGTTCCTCAGTGGAATGGTCTAGGTTAGACCTCAGCAGAAAGGAGAAAGGCTGGACCCCAGTGGAGAGGTCTGAGGTTAGACCCTAAATAGAAAGGACCTAAGTTAGATCCCAGTGGAAGAGGCTGGAGTCCAGCTGTGGGACAGAGGACTTCCCTATAGTGGCCAAACCATCCCCTCACCCCTGCTCCTTCATTCATCCAGCCATATCACTGTAATCCCTTCTGTCCCTTCTATTAGGATCTAGCTTCAGACCCTCCAACCAGGGTCTCACTCTGTCCCTCCTGTGGTGCCATATTCCTCTCCTTTGTACTTGGGTTGGCTCCTCCCCTGTCTTACTGGCCTATCCTTCGCCGTTGTTTCCCCCACTATGGTCTAACCTTAGCCTCATTCCTGTACAGTGCAGTGTGTCTCTTGTGCTTTGGTCCCTCTCTGTCCCTCCTGAGTTCTAACCTCACACCCATATGTTTGGGCCTGGGCTTTGTTTCTCCCGCTGGAAATACACTGAACACCATCCTCCTGGGTCTAACCGTCACCCCATCACAGACATCCATTCCCACCCACATGCTGGTCTGCTCTCCGACCTCCCACCACAGTCAAGCTCCTGGCCCCTCTGCTTCTCCAGACCATCCCGCATGGTCTAGCCTGTACTCCTCCTGCTCTGTCTCATTCCTGGCCTCCTCTTGTTCCCCACAGCACAGCCTGGTCCAGGCCTCGGAGCTGGTCCTGACCCGGCTTCGGCATCAAGTGGAACAGAGGAAACATCAGTCCCAGAGGCCTGGGGACAGGGCAGGTCCAGGGCCTGCTGAGACCTCGGCCTCCTGAGCTCCCACCCACTGCCTGCCCCAGACCCAGGGACAGTTCACTGGAGAAATCGCCTCTAGCCATTCATGGTGGAGAAGCATCCTGAAGGAGGGATGGTCTCCCCAGAGCCCCCCCAGGGCAGTGGAGCTGTGAGTTCCTGCTCTGCCTCTGCCCCACCGTGCCGTGCAACCCTGGCTGACACACTCCTGTCTCTGTACCTCAGTGTCCCCATTTGAAAGTGGGATGATCACACCTGACTCCCCCCTTCTGTCCCCAGTGAGAATTGGTCAGCCAACGATTATTTATATGTCCAGAGGAAGCCGACTTCGAGTTGCCTTCATTCTTTTGTTCTGGGAGGTGATTGATGTGTGCCTCCTATGTGCCAGGCTCTGTGCTGGGTGCTGGATTCACCCAGAAGAATGGAGGGAGGGGCATATGGGGAGAGAAAATCCAAGGTTAGACCTAGAAGCAGGACTAAGGTGAGATCGTAGTGTAGACCTCAGAAGACAGAAGTGAGGTTAGAAATGAGGCCCTGGCATAAAAGTTGAATTAAAACCAATGTGGAAAAAAATAAATAAATAAAACCAACGTGGAAGAGATTGTAGAAACCAAAGAAAAGGACTGAGGCTAGACCCCAGTGGGGCCCTCTGGATCTGAGGATAGACCCCTGTGGGGCCCTCTGGATCTGAGGATAGAACCCAGTGGAGAAAACACAGAAATTAAACCTCAGAGGAAAGGATACAGTTGGGAAGGACTGCCATGGGAAGCTGTGGTCAAATTGTAGCAGAGGGATTGAGGCTAGACACCTCCCTCCATGAATAATGCTGAGATTGGACCCCCGACAAATTACTGTGGTTAGACCTTGTGCCAAGGGCCAAGGCTGGACCCCACCAGGAAGCAGCTGAGTTTAGATACCAGTGGGGCATACTGAGATGAGACCCAGGAGGGAAAGACCCAGGGTGTGCCATGCTAGAAAGGACTAAGGTTAGACCTGATTGAAAAACCCAGGGGATCCAGGGACCAAGAAGTTTGAGACAGGGCTGATTTCCCTGGCCCTGAGCTGTGCTGGGCTCCCTTGTCATCTCCTAGAACCTGGGCCCAAGCGTGGGAAATTGCCTGGAGCTGAATCACCTCTCCCTGACAGCCCGCCCAAGGGTGTCCAGCCTGGACTAGTGGTGGGCATGGACGGTCGATGCAAGCAGGGTCTCCTCTCTCCTGCTGCCCGCCTGCTGAGGTGGAGAGCTACACTGCCTCCTGGCCCCAGGTGGGAGTGGGACTCCAGCGTGGGATTTATTTTTTTTTAAAGATTTTATTTATTTATTCATAGACACAGAGAGAGAGAGAGGCAGAGACACAGGGAGAGGGAGAAGCAGGCTCCATGCAGGGAGCCCGATGTGGGACTTGATCCCGGGTCTCCAGAATCACACCCCAGGCTGCAGGCGGCGCCAAACCGCTGCGCCACCAGGGCTGCCCTCCAGCGTGGGATTTAGGTGAGTTTAGATGGTGTGGGTCTGTGAAGTATGTGCTCGTGGGCGTGTATGGGCACCTGCGTGGACACTTCAGGGCTCAGGATTTTGTATCTTGAGGACTCCAGCCACTCACCTGGCCTTTTGCGGTTCGCTGCCTGACCTCTTGCTCCTCAGTCTGGGACAGCACGTAGTGTAGTGGTTAATGGTGCAGAGCCTGAAGCCATACTTGGCCCCTCTGTGCCTCAGTTTCCCCAGCTGTAAAATGGGGCTAATAGCATTTACATCACAGGCTTATTAGGAGGGCTTAGCTGTGTCAACCCATGTCAGTCACTTCCAAAAAAAATCATAACCCCGCCTGGCCCATGGCAAGAGCCTATGAATGGCAACAGTTGTTACTATTACTAACGGGTGACTTTGTGGTTGTTTCTGGCTTGCTTTGCAAGGTTATGTCTGTCGGCACAGCATGTGAATTTGGATCTGACTCTGATTAAACATTCTTGCCCTCCCCCCCCCACCCGGTTCTGTGAGCCTGTAACTATTTGTGGCTGTTTTTTGCCTCCCTGGCCCTTGTATGGATCGGAGAGTGTATGTGTTGGGGAGAGGGAAAGATGCCTCTGGATGACCCCCAGCCCCCCCAACACACACACACATACACACACACAGGAGCATCCGCCACCGCTGTCCCTTGCCTGTGGTGCTGAACCTGAAGGGTTGGGGGGAGGCTCAGGCTCCCCCCAACCTCCTCTCTCCAGGTGCCTCCCCCGCCTCTCGGCAGCCTCCCCTCTCCCCGCCTCCTCCTCCTCCCCTCTGACTCCGGCTCCTCCTCCTCCCTCCCAGCACTCTCCCCCATCCCTCCTCCTCCCTCTCTCCCGACTCCCCCTCCCTCGTGTCCCTCCTCCCTCTTCCTCTCCTCCCTCTATCCCCTCTCCCTCCCCTCCTCCCTGGCTCTCCCTCTCAGTCTCCAGCTTTCTCTCTCTCTCTCTCTCTCTCTCTCTCTCTCTTTCTCTCTTCTGTCGGGCGGAGTCGCCCACCACTGCCAGCCCAGTGCTAGGGGGACCTGCTCCAGACTGCAGCTGCAGGTAAGAGACCCCCCAGTTTTGGGGGGGGCGTGGAGGAAGGATGGCATTGCCTCAGGCGGGTGGAGGGGACATTTGAAGAGCCAGGAGCCGCTGTTCCCCGAGCTCGCTTATGGGGGTTGGGGGGCTGCATATCCCGGGTGGGGATACCAGGTCCCCTCCGTGGATTAGGGGCGCCACCGACACCCTCAGCCCCTCCTGTGTTCCTGGGAGCACGGCCGGCGGGGAGGGGGTGCATCCTGGTCACTGAGGGGGCGAGAACACCCCAGCCCGTCTGGGGCAGCCCCCCTTCGCCTTCTCTCCCTCCGCCCCCGCCTTCCTGCGTCTGGGTCTCATCTTTCTGCCTCTCCACATCTCTCCAGGGTCCTGTCCTGCACAGTCTATCTGGCTCTCTGAGTCCCTGTCCCCGTGCCCCTGTCTCTCAGTCCCTCACTCCAGCCTCTGTCCCCCTGGTTCCCTCTGTGCCCCGGTCTGTCCTGTGTCTTTTCAGGGATTCTGTCTCTAAGTCCCTGGTTTCTTTCTCCTTCACCATATGTGTATGTCTCTCTATCTCTCTCTCTCCAGTCTCTGCTCTCCTGTCTCTTCTATCTCTGTGGGTGTCCCCCTGTCTCTTCTTGCCCCTCTCCCTCCTCTCCATCACCCGTCTGTAGGTATGTGGTCTCTGTTTCTCGGTCTCTCTCTTCCCTAATAGCGGGTTAACTCTCCTCCTACACACCTTGGTCCCCGCCCCTGGCAAGGGGGAGACCTGGAGGGAGAAGATCGTCCCCTCCCCAGGGTGGGCTCCCTCAGAAGGTGCGGAGTCCCCCCAAACTCCTCCAAGCTCCCTCCCATCCTCCCAGCTGCCTCGCTGGTGCCCCATCCCTCCCCTGAGGCCAGAGCTCTTCTCTTCTCCCCTGCCTTGTGTCTGGCATTCTGGGGCCAGTCCTTCTTGCAGTCTACCCTATACCCTTTGTGGTGGAGCCGGCCCCAGTCCTTCCATCTTGCCTCCCCATTCCTCTTCATAGAGACTGGACCAGTCCTTCCTGCAGTCTGACTTCTGTTCCTCTTTCGCCCATTTGTCCATTGCTTGCTCGACTCCTCCCTTCTTTTGGCAGTTACTGAGCACCTTTCCTACACCAGGCACAACACTAGGCACTGGGGCGAGTCAGGCCAGTCCCTCCCGCAGCCTCACCTCCATCCCTCTCATTGTACTAGCCTCAGACCTGTCTCTCCGTGGGGGTGGATCTCAGAAATTCTCCACCATCCCTTGGGGGTTCCGAGAGGGCCCCTCTGAGTCTGGAGGTCCCTGGCCAGGGACCAATACATCTTCTTCTTTCCTGGGGGGAAGGCGGACCCAAAGAAGGTGGGTGGGGAGTGAGCGACTAGGGGAGAGGTGTGAACCTAGCCAGTAGCCCAGGCTGCGATGGGGTGAGGTCCTCAAATATCCACATGGGGCCCGGCTGGCTTCAGAAGAACACCAGGTTAGGAGTTCCATGCCTTGAGTTTCCATCCTTCCTTGCCCCTGTTCCGAAGCTGCTTGACCTGACCAAGCTCTTTCCCCCTCCAGACCTCAGTTTACCCATCAATGTGTCGTAGCCCTGAGCACGGAGACTCTGTGTGACACTCCCCACCCAGAGCAGGATACGGAGTGGTGCTAGGAGAGCCTGGCTCACCCTGGAGCAGTAAGTGGGTGTGTTTAGAAGCCCGTTGTGTCCCTGCCTAGAAATCCCTCCAAGGGGTGGCAGGCAACCCCTGCCCCCACCAGAGCACAAGCAGAAACTGCCACCTCCATCACCAGTGCGAGGGACATGCAAGAGGGAGGAGGTCCCACCTGGCACACCAGACTGCCCCCCTCACGCTTGCAGTCCCACTCTAGGCAGGTGTCTGAGACCCTGAGGGGTGTGTGAGGCAGAACCAGGGTGCTCACCACCGACCCAGCTGGCCACCTGCCTGCGAGGGTGGGGAGACATGGAGAGATGCCACCAGCTGCCCTCCGGACTCCTACCCTGGCCTCAACCTGATCCTTTTGCCCCTGGATTCTAAACCCAGATTAGGTTTCAAGGCTGCTGGTGGATGGAGAGAGGCAGATGCAGGCGTCTCTAGCAGAGGAAGCCCAGCTGTCCCCAGCGACAAGGCTCAGAGCTCTTGGTCGTTCATCTCACAAATATTTATCTAGTACTTTCTCCGACCCCACCTCCCCTAAGGGCCTTGGTGAGAGGAAACCACGTTTTACAGGAAAAGGGCTGCTTGGCCCAGCCCCTGGGCAAGGGGGGCAGGCATGAGAACACCCATTGGCGGACTCTGGTCTCCCTTGGGGACTGCAGCAGGAGGGACAGGTGGTTAGACTTGAGGGGGCACTTTCCAGGCCAGGGCCCTCCCATGACAGAGGGAGCTAGATGCTTGAGATGAATTCTTGACTCCAGGTGGCCCTTGTTACTCCTGAAAGCCACGGAGAAGGGAGGGAGAAGAGAGCATGAGTCTGCTTGAGATCCTGGTGGGTTTGTAATTATGCCTAAGTTGTTGCTAATTAGGGGGCTGCTAATTAGATGTATCATTAGGGGCCTTGCATAGGGGGCTAATTGTGTGGTGGCCCTTTAAGAATCCCCCCTCTCACCACCCACACACACACACACACACACACACACACACAGACTCCTCAGGGAAGTTCTGCCAACATTCTGCCTCCCTCCCCCAGGAGCCAGCTCCCTGCCCGTGAGTATGTGGGCGTGTTTTGGGGGCAGGCTGTGAGTTAGACTGATAGAAGAACTTCCAGACAGAAATGCAAGTTACCTGGAGATCTGAAGCCCCCAGCAGCCAGAGGAGACCGGATCAGGGAAGTGGAGGCGGAGGCTCGGAGGACCCCTCCTTCTTCTCTCAGAACCTTTTTTTAATAGGCTACTGGGTTACCAAGACAACGCAACAGTGGGGCAGAGGAGCTGGGAGTTGAGGCCACTCTAGGAGAGAGAAATGAAACCAGAGTTGGTACTAGGGGCTTGGACGAGTTTTTAACTTCTGAGCCTTGGCCCTCCCCAAAGTGAGGTGGTGTCATTTGGAATGGGGAGCTCAGGGAAGGTGACGTCTGAGTGGAGAACTGGAGAAGAGAGGGCGAATATGTGGGGAAGAGTGTCCCAGGAAGGGGGAACAGCAGGTGCAAAGGCCCTGAGGCAAGAACTTGTCTAGTATGTGAGGAACCTCGAGATGGCTGGAGCCATGCAAGCAAAGCATACAGGGAGAGAGATGAAGCCAGAGAGGGAAAGAGGGAGGCAGATCCTGTGAGATCTTATGAGCCAGGGCAAGGGCTGTGGTTCTCTAAGGCGGAGTTGGGAGTCATGGAGGGTTCTGAGCAGAGGGAGGAGGTGAGCTCATTAGCGCTTTTAATGGGAACCAAGGCAAGACATGAGATAGCCACTCAAACCCAGGATTAGAGGCCAGAGGAGTTTTATGGTGGTTTTTTTTTAAGTTTTTATTTATTTGAGAGAGAAAGAATGAGCAGGGGGAGGTGCAAAGGGAAAGGGAGAAGAGCAAGGAGCCTGATGTGGGGCCTGATCCCAGGACCCTGGGATCATGACCTGAGCCAAAGGCAGATGCTTAACCAACTGAGCCACCCAGGCACCCCCCGGGGGGGGGAGTATTGAAACCACAGAGACCCCATAACCCACAAATGGGACAGAAAGCTCAACATGGGGCCTCCCGTCACAGCTGCTGAAGACCTGGGCACCTCACAGAGACCTATGGGTACTTGAGGGAGACACCTGCCACCATTGCAGGGAAAAATGTGAGTGAGAGACCCTCCAGCAGCCCCTCCCCAGCCCCGCTCAGACAAACAGACATACCACCACATCCCAGACCCGAGGCAAGAGCCCTCTGAGGGCCAGGTTGGAAACCATTAGAAGGACCTAATGAATTTAGGGCCTCGGGACCCTCACCTCACCCACGAAATCGTTCAGTCTGTGTTCTTTGGGGCCTGGATTCATTCCTCCGTTGTCTGTGGGATTCGTCTGTGTGGCTGGGCGGGTCAACAGCCGATTCCTTTCCAGGGCCATATAGCATTCCACAGTGTGAGTGCTCTGTGCTGTCATTCTCCGTTTACTGCCAAGAGGCATCTGGGTTGTCTCAAGACAGGAGCTGTTAAAAATAAAGCAGCTACGGACATTCTCGGATGTGCCTCTTGGCAGACATACGACCTGTGGCTCCTGAGTGCATGTGTACCTGGGCTGAGTCCTAGGACACAGGACGTTCAGCTGTAGTTCCTCGAACTGGTGAGACCAATATGCACCCCACTGGCAGTGTGTGATGCTCCTCTGTCTTTATCTTTCTCTCTTGGTCTCTATCTGGCACTCTCTGTCTCTCCATCTCTCCATGTCTCTGTGTCTCCCTCTGCCTCCATCAGCCCTCTGCTTGACACCCAACAAGCTTTGGCTCCTGTGCAAATGGGAGGGGTTCGTGCCCCTCACCCACACTTCCTCCTCCTCCACAGGACCCGACACCCTCCATGGCTCCCTTGGCCTTAATGGGGTTTGCACTCCTCCTGGGGACGCCCCTATGCTCAGGGGCGGCCACCCCCACTCCCTCCCTGCCACCTCCCCCAACCAATGACAGTGATACCAGCACAGGGGGCTGCCAGGGCTCCAACCGCTGCCAGCCGGGGGTCCTGCTGCCTGTGTGGGAGCCCGATGACCCGTCGCTGGGTGACAAAGCAGCGAGAGCAGTGGTCTACTTCGTGGCCATGGTTTACATGTTCCTGGGCGTGTCCATCATCGCTGACCGCTTCATGGCATCCATCGAGGTCATCACATCAAAGGAGAAGGAGATTACCATCACCAAAGCCAATGGTGAGACCAGCGTGGGCACCGTCCGCATCTGGAACGAGACGGTGTCCAACCTCACACTCATGGCCCTGGGGTCCTCAGCCCCTGAGATCCTGCTGTCTGTCATCGAGGTCTGTGGCCACAACTTCCAGGCGGGCGAGCTGGGCCCTGGCACCATCGTGGGCAGTGCTGCCTTCAACATGTTCGTGGTTATTGCCGTGTGCATCTATGTCATCCCAGCCGGCGAGAGCCGCAAGATCAAGCACTTGAGAGTCTTCTTTGTCACTGCCTCTTGGAGTATCTTCGCCTACGTCTGGCTTTATCTCATCCTTGCCGTCTTTTCCCCGGGTGTGGTCCAGGTGAGCAAGGAGCCATGGACACCTCCTTGGTGCATGCATGTCTGCAAAATCCAGAGGGGTGGCTCCCTGGGCTTGGAGACTTGATTTATGTGTTTGCAGAAATGCATGCTCACATCTGGGAGGGCAGTCAGGTATGCCCTGGTCACACACTGCACAAGGGCATTGGGCTGGAGAAGGCAAGGTGGGGCTCAAGTCCATTGAGTGTGCTCAAGCCATGTTTGTATGGCTCCACAGGCCCTGGAAAGGACTCCTCTGCCCAGAGGGAGGTGACATTTTGCAATATACCCATCCAGAAGGGGCCCCTTTTTAGCTCTCACGATGGTGCCATATGTGTTAACAGAGTCCTTGTGATCTGTGTAATGCATACCGCACGTAGTTCACAGTCTAGCCAGGTATTTGCCAGGTATGTTCACGTGTTACACTCCCTGTCTTCTGCATAATTTATTCCTGTCTTTATAATAAGACCTCCTCCATTTTCCATAATTCATGCCACAGTTGCATAATCCAGCCTTGTGTTTTCTGACAGTGCTAATCAATTTGGGTAACTTGGTGCGATTGGCTTAATGTATCCACGGGCTTGTATAGATGCAGGCCCACATCTGCATGATCTACCTCTGTATTTGCCAGATCTGTGATTGTGATTTGCATAATTAATTCATTATTCATAATTGATCTCTGATAGGAGGATAATTTATGCCACATCACTATAATTTATACTCAATCCAATCCAGCATAGGTATAAACCCAGTTCACTGCAAAGGCCACTTTGCATAATTTATTCCAGCAGCGAGACAAAATTTAGCCCCACCACTCAGTAAGTTACACCCACGTTCACATAACCATTTGCCTCTCGTTCATCCAGTGTGTTAACCACATTCTGCTTAAAACATGTGCCTAATTTATTTCCCACAATCCCATGACTGCTGCCCATATTTACATAATTTATTTATGGGCCTGGCCTAATTTGTTCACACATATGCATAATTTATTTGAGGCTACCCAGAATTCCTTCACACATGTGTATAATCTCTCAGTACATATCTGCCAACTATAGTTTCTTTCCAGGAAGGAGCTGAAGTTAGAAGTATAAAAATTCTTTGCAGGTGATATAAAAGCAGAAGGGAGGGAGGGACCAGAAACCGCAGATGAGCTAAGGAGGAGCTAAGGGACCAGAAACCACAGGTGAGCTAAGGTAGCACCAGAAGACAGGGATGAGAGAGGGCAAGAGACATTTGCTGCAATTGACCAATGACTATAATGCTGAGTCTCCTGGCTGCTATGGTGAAAAGTACAGAAGGATGTGTCACGCAGTTCTCATGCGCTATTAAAAAGGATGGTATACTGACTTAGGTTTGCAAAGTGGTCTTTGATGAGGATTTACAGCAAAAATATGAAGAGAACTTTAGGCACCATGAGCGACAGGTGGGTAGGGATGAGGGTAGAAGAGAGATATCCCCCTGAGAAGGAGCCCTTCAGACTCAGAAAACAGGGTGGAGAGTGCCACAGTTCTGGGGAAGTAGCCATGGGGGGATCCCTTCAGGAATAATGTGAAAGCCAAAATTATGGGACATTTTCATGAAGTAATGGAAGGAACTGGCATGAGACCAAGATGGTGCCACTTCCTCCTCAACACAGTGAACTGAGACAGTGAGATGGGTCTAGCTCTGGATTTTGTCCCGAAGTGCTGTGTGACCGCAGGCAAAGCCTGTACCCTCTCTGGCCCTCAGTTTTCATATCTGAACCATGGAAGGGATTAGGCCAGGCCCGTTGGTTCTTGACCCTTCATACCCAATGCTCCCTTTTTCTGTTAAATGTCCTGGTACACCCCACTTCGGCTGTTTCCTGGCTGTTCTCGGGCAGGTTCCTCACTTTGCCTGTGTCTCAGTTTCTGGGCCTGTCACCTGGCCGTTGTCATAGGACTGAATCTGGAGGGGCTGTGTGAAGATCAAATAAATTACACGTGGAGGGGCTCAGAACAGCAGGCCTGGAACAGAGTAAATGTGAGCTATTCCTACTGTTAATGAATTTGCCTGCACTGTTGGCTTTCTGAAAGTCAGTATAATGCCTGAACTGTGATATAAAAGAAAGTAATCTCTAATAGAACGATGTGCATTTCCACATGTAAATGCTTTAGCATGGCTACTTTAAAAGTCATGATGGGGAAGCCAGATGCCAGCACCTACTTAGATTGAGCAAGTTTGGGTTTAAGAGAAAGAAAAAGATCAGGAAACATTCCATGCAAAAGTTGAGCAGAGGAGTGGGTAGCTACAAGATTAAAAATAAGCATATTCAGCATATATTAAAGCATCAGGAAAATACTTCATATACACATAACAGAGCTGAGTTCCAGACTCCAATTATTATAAGCAGGTTTTCTTCACCAACGTGCATGTCCAGCAGGAGGTTCTGAAGTCAGCAAGACATGGGACAATTCTGTATTATGTGGGACTGCCCCATGACTTGCTGGATAATATCCCCCTCCCCAGTCATAGTGGCAGCCCATAAAAACCCTAGATTGGTGACACCCCATCTTGGGGGTGTTCCTGTCCACTGAAGCTGTCTCACTTCTCTTCCACGGTGGGCAAGTCCATTCACAGTGGGTACCCTGGAAGGAAGATATGAGTCTCCTAGAATCAAAAGCAAATCTTAGGGGTTCAAGGTTGTCTTCCGATTAGGGAAGAATCCCCTGCAATATACACAGTGGCCAGTGCAATGAACACAAGCCCAGAGTTCATTTTACAGCTTGTGTAGGAAACCTGGCTTCTTTTCACAGGCCTGCCTGGTGGCTTTGTGAGGCTCTGTTTCCAAGTCCTACCCTTCTCTCTGAGCCATCAGTAAACATGGTGACGAGGTGTAGGGATTGGATCTTAAAAGGTATTTTCCCTTCTGGGCCCATTTTAAAGATACCTCTGGGGGCCATCTGACTCTAAATAATCTGTAATCCATTCTTATCTTTAATGAGAAGGGTAACCAGGGGCGGAGTGTGTCCTGGACCTCAACGAACACTAATATAGTTACAGCACTAGTATGATAATGGTAATGTTAATTTCACATTTTGAGTATGTTGCGTGTGTCAGGAACTGACAGTGGTAAGTGTTTAGGGGTACAGGGTCTCATTCAGTCTTGGGATGCCCCCATTTTACAGACAAGAGGCTGAGCCAGACCTCCCTCTTCTAGAACCAGGATCTGAACTCAGCATTGCCTTGTCTCTCTGGGGAGGCAGCATGTAAACATGGGAACTTGCGCTATGAGGCTGTGAGAGGAGCCAAACTTGTGCCTCTTTTAGAGTCAAAGTCCTGTCCCTAAGGGCCAAACAGATTCTAAAGAAGGAGAGGCTGGCAAAGACTGTATTCCCTGGTGGGGGGAAGGGTGGGGAATCAGGGAGCTTTAGGAAGAGGTGAGTAGAGAACTGGCCCTGGATGACTGATGGGTAGGGTTTGGACAAGCCGAGGCATCCCAGGTGAGGAAGGATAGAGGGGAAATGGAGCAAGGAGAAAAAGATGGAAGGAGAGAGAGGCAGGAAGGGACACAGGCTCTGCCCCTTGACTGGAGCTGAAACCACAGGGTGGGGACCTGTTGCCTAGTGGCAGCTGAGGGTGTCTGGATTCCCGGCACTGAGGCAGCTGGGAGTGGGTCTCAGCATAAAAGGTGGATGGGTGGGTGGATGGATGAGTGAATATGGATGGATGGGTGGACAGATGGATGGGTGGGTGGATGGATGGATGGACCGCCGGAGGGATGAATGGGTGGACGGATGGATGCGTGGATTCATCAGGAGACCAGGAAAGAGGGAGAGGGAGAGGAACCTCTTGTAAGGGAAGAATCTCACAACGGGGACAGATGAGTATCTACAAAAGACCTAAAAGGAGGACAAGGAGACAGAGGCAACAAGGCAGAGAGAGAGAAGAAAGGTTCAAAAACCGACCGACACCGGGTGGGACGGAGTCAGGGAGAGAAAGAGACAACGACCTAGACAGAGAGAGATGGGGAGAGGCAGAGACCAGCCGACCCGGAGCGAAGTAGCGCAGGGACAGAGATGCGGGGAGATGCAGGACGGGATAGACGGGGGGGGGGGGTCGCGCCCGCGGACCCCGGGACCCAGTGCCCCGTGGGAGAGACGCAGGGCGGCCGGACGGCGGGCTGCGAGCGCGCCCCCTGGCGGCGCGGCGGTCCTGACCCGCGGCCGCCCGCAGGTGTGGGAGGCGCTGCTGACCCTCGTCTTCTTCCCGGTGTGCGTGGTGTTCGCCTGGATGGCCGATAAGCGGCTGCTCTTCTACAAGTACGTGTACAAGCGCTACCGCACCGACCCGCGCAGCGGCATCATCATCGGCGCCGAGGGCGACCCCCCCAAGAGCATCGAGCTGGACGGCACGTTCGTGGGCGCCGAGGTGCCGGGCGAGCTGGGCGGCCTGGGCCCGGGCCCCGCCGAGGCCCGCGAGCTGGACGCCAGCCGCCGCGAGGTCATCCAGATCCTCAAGGACCTCAAGCAGAAGCACCCGGACAAGGACCTGGAGCAGCTGGTGGGCATCGCCAACTACTACGCGCTGCTGCACCAGCAGAAGAGCCGCGCCTTCTACCGCATCCAGGCCACGCGGCTGATGACGGGCGCGGGCAACGTGCTGCGGCGACACGCGGTGGACGCGTCGCGCAGGGCGTCCCCGGCCGAGGGCCCCGGCGAGGACGAGGACGACGGCGCCAGCCGCATCTACTTCGAGCCCAGCCTCTACCACTGCTTGGAGAACTGCGGCTCGGTGCTGCTGTCCGTCACCTGCCAGGGCGGGGAGGGCAACAGCACGTTCTACGTGGACTACCGCACCGAGGACGGCTCCGCCAAGGCCGGCTCCGACTACGAGTACAGGTGGGTGGGCTGTCCCGGGGCCGCAGCCTCAGGGCTCCTGGCGCTCAGGGCTGCCTCCAGCGCCCGTGTCCTTCACCTTGCCTGGTGGGCAGGCCTGAGGCATCCATCCATTCACCCCTCGCCGGTGCATTCACGGTGGAGAGCCCTCACCATACGGTACCGCACAGCCTTCTAGGTATTGGCCAGATGGTGTGCTGTCCCCCTCCCCCATGCTTGACACTACTCCTGTGTTAATTATTAGAGCTCCATTATAGGTAGTGTTACCTGGAAGAACAGGTAACCCCTTACCCACACACCCACACACGCGCTAACTAAAATAAAAATGTGTATTGAGCGCAAGAATGGCATGCATAACAAGACAGCTTGGGTCCCTGCCCTCAAGCTGCAATAAGGTTATGGACTATTAAACATATAAAAACAGCAGGTGATGGTAAGCATTATGTGGGAAAATTAAATGGTATAGAGGAAAGAGGCAGCGCCCACCTTATCCCCAGGTCTTTGGTTGAATCATAAAGAAGCCCACCTCCCCTTGTACCTTCCTACCCTCCTGTGTCTCCCTGCCCCCATCCCTCTCCTCACCCCTCTTTGAAGGGACCTGTGATTTTCCCTCCTTCCGCAGCTCCTAGTGAGCACCTACTATGTGTCAGGTCCTACCTTTAGAACACAGAACAGTCGTGGGGGGAGCCTGGGTGGCTCTGTCTGTTTTAAGCGTGGGACTCTTGATTTCGGTGTAGGTCATGATCTCGGGGGCATGAGATCAAGCCCTGCATTGGGCTCCCTGCTGGGCATGGAGTTGGCTTAAGATTCTCCTTCTCCCTGTGCCCCTTGCCCCTCCCCTCCTAAAAAAAAAAAAAAGAAGAAGAACCCAGAAGTAAACAAGATAACTTCTCTATCCTTGTGTGGCCCACAAAATTTTATCTGCTAGTAGTTCTTCTGTCCGTGCCACACTCAAGAATGATAGCTTTATAGTGTATTTTGTTGAGTGATGTGCTGTCATTGTTGCCTATAATAACACCAACATTTATTGTGGGTCTACTACGTGCCAGAAGTGGGTCTGGACAATGAAGACCAGCAGTGAATGAGACATGTCAAGGCCCTGCCCTGATGCAGCTGGGATTCTTGTGGGAAGGATGGGCCACTGGGGAGTGAGCAGTGAAGCTAGAAGAGTGTCAGGGAGTGGTAAGAGCTGCAAAGGAATTGAAGTAGAGGACAGGCTGAGCTTCTCATGGGTCCCACCTGCCACCTGCTACTTGGTGTGCGATACCCCCCCTTTCATCCTCTTTCTGGAGTAAAGCTGAGGCGGAACTGGTCACAGATCTTTGGTTCTGCTCATGCAGTCACCAGTCCCCTCGTGCCTCTAACTCTTCCTGGGGCTGGATTTCTGGGTCTCATAAATCTTTAGCTCCACCCCGGTACCCCAGCAAAGACTATCAATAGGCCACCTCCCCTGCCTCTCTGCCTATCACATCTTCCTATCTTTCTACTGCTCTGGGCATTTGTAGATCAATCTGTCCACCTGGGTCAGCCTAGGATCCTCTGATCTGCCCATCCCCATTCATTTCTCTTCCTCTCCCGGCCCCACCCCGCCACACCCCCCCCACTCTGTTTCTCCCGAGTGGGGCTCAGGATCTTTGTTCTGTCATCCTGTAGCATGGGATCCCTTTGGCCATCTGTGACCTCCTCCCTCCATCCTCTCCCTACCATTCCCCGTCTCCCAGCCTCCTTGGACTAAAGAAAAGGCATTCACCATACTGGCGCCTGCTGTCACTCAAGCTCAGCATTCCACTGCTACCCACACCCCGAGTCTGCCCTGCCCCCATCTTTTGCAGAAGGAAGTGAGTATGGGTGTCACTGCAGGCATCAGCGGCGCCTTTCTCACCTGCATATGACCTCAGTAGTGAGATGTCTGAAGTGCAGGAGTAAATGCTGCTCAGTGGTGGCACCAAAGAGCTAGGAAAAGTTGACGCCTTCCTCCTATCCCTGCTCTCCCATCCCAGGTGACAGTCACAGGCCTGGCATCACTTATCAGTGCAGCATAAGTCCAGGACTAGGAGGGAGGACACCTGGGTTACAGTCCAAGTTAGCCCTGGACCCTGTTCCTTGAGCAAGTTTCTGCCTCAGCATGGGCAATCCAGGCTGTCACATACAGTTATTGAGGTTGTGCACTGCGTAAGAGCACCACATCTAAGAAAGTTCTATTCATATAATGGATATTGTGGATTTGTATGTCTATTATGACAATGTCCTGATTCATGGAAATAAAAGTGTCTTGAAGAAGAGAACCCATTTTCAGATTTGCCCACAGCCACTATACAGATTAGGGTGGTCCATGGGCCTTGGTTTCTCCAAATTAAATATGATCTCTGAGGCACCAAAGGATCATGGCTGTTCCCAGATTCTGAGATTTAAGCCCTATAATTTTAATATGCTAAGAATCTAAAATTTTAAGTTTCCAGGATTCCCATATCTGGGTATTCTAACCCATATCCCAACCAGTTTCTGATTTGATGGTGCTAAGATTTTCATCTTCTCAGATTTTGTGCATCCACTGTTGAAACACGAGTCCAGGGGATCCCTGGGTGGCGCAGTGGTTTGGCTCCTGCCTTTGGCCCAGGGCGCGATCCTGGAGACCCGGGATCGAGTCCCACGTCAGGCTCCCGGTGCATGGAGCCTGCTTCTCCCTCTGCCTATGTCTCTGCCTCTCTCTCTCTCTCTGACTATCATAAATAAATAAAAATTTAAAAAAATTTCTAAAAAAAAAAGAAAGAAAGAAACACGAGTCCATCATCTTCTTTTTTAATTTTTATTTATTTTATTTTTTATTTATGATAGTCTCACACACACACACACACAGAGAGAGAGAGGCAGAGACACAGGCAGAGGGATAAGCAGGCTCCATGCACCGGGAGCCCGACGTGGGACTCGATCCCGGGTCTCCAGGATCGCACCCTGGGCCAAAGGCAGGCGCCAAACCACTGCGCCACCCAGGGATCCCAATCTTCTATATTTCTATCATACCTGGTTTCTAAAATCCCCACGTTCTTTTTCTGCTCAACCATTTATTGTGAAAAAAAATTCACACCTGCAGAACTGCAGAGATGGCTTAGTGAACCCTCATGTAACCTTTCGCCAGATTCACCAATTGTTCATGTTCTGTCCTGCTTGCATTCACTCACTCTCTCGAATATATAATAGTATCAATAATTGTGGCACGAGATGGGAGCGAGTTGCAGACAGCATGACCACTCACTCATGAATACTTGAGTGTGCATCGGCTAAGATTTATGACATTCCCCCCCCCACCCCACCACAGACACAATCCGATCGCTGCACTCAAGAAATGTAATACTGAATCAATATTATTACCCAATCTGCAGTCCCTGTTTGCATTTTCCCCAGTTGTCGCCATAACATCCTTGTGGCTGTGTTTTTGCTCCCTCCCTCTTTTCCGGTCCAATCCAGCACCAAATGTTGCATTTGGTTGTCATTCTCTAAATTTAGAGTTCTTCTGGATCAATACCTCAGCTTCTCTATGACTTTTGTGTCCCTGACACTTTTGAAGATAGGCCAGTTAGTAGAGCAGTCCTCAATTTGGGTTTGTCAGATGTTTCCTCATGATTAGAGTCAGGTGATGGCCAGAGTTCATGCAAGTGATGTGATGTCCTCTTCAGTGCATTATACCAGGAGGCTGTGACACCTGCCTGTCCCACTATTAGTGATGTCCAATTTAACCATTTGGTAAAGAGGGTGCTAAAATCCCCCCATCTACTAACCCTTAAGTTTACATTTCTAACATCCCATAACTTTAGCATTCTAAGTTTCTAATCTTTTTTTTTTGAGATTTTATTTGTTTATTTGAAAGAGAGAGTGTGCAAACAGTAGAAGGAGCAGAGGGATAGGGACAAGCAGACTCTGTGCTGAGTATGGAGCCCAATATGGGGCTCAGTCTCATGGCCTTGAGATCATGACCTGAGCCTAAACCAAGAGTTGGATGCTTAACTGACTGAGCCACCACCAGGCACCCCTAAGACTCTAATCTTAATACACAAATATCACTAGCTAACTTTTGTAGAGTGCTTCCCTTGCATTATAACTCAATCCTCATAACACAATCACGAGGTAGACACTGTTGTCAGCTCCACTTTACAGATAAGGAAGCTGAAATTCAGAGGGCTGCAAATCCTAACTGCCCTAGATCACACTGCCAGCACAGCAGCCCAACCCAGCTTGGAGCAGGTGGGCTCACTGGGCTGGGTGCCTCAGCCACCATGGACAGCGTCTCCTGAGCAGAAGGCTGCCGCCACAGGGAGCCCCTTACCTGGAGTCTACTCCAGGCTTGTCACCTGGGTTCTACCTCTTCGCCAGAAACTTGGGGTCCCTCTGCCCCTCCCACAGAGCTGGACTGCTCTGGGAGAACTGGAGCTCAGGACCTCTTATGAAAGTGATCAGAGTAATGATAGAGAACACTCATAGATCATATAGCACCTTTCAGAAATGGTGCCAGAGGTGCATGGAGCGAGCATCTGGGTGGGAAAATTATAGATGCATTTACATCCCAGAGGCGTTTTGATGCCTGCAGCCCTGCCAAGAGCCCACTCATTCCCTGTCCCCTCAAAGTTTCACCCTGACTACCCTGATGTCACTGTCTCATTTCTTCCCCTGCCCCATTATAGAGCATCTCGCATGTGCTTCAGAGACTTACACAGCTGATGCTCCAAGGCAGCTTATATCCTTCCCCACCTCAGAGGCCTCCCATGCTTCCCATCCCACTCCAAGTAAGCACCAAAGTCCTCACTGTGGCCCACCACAACCCCGTGACATCTGCCCTGTTTCCCTCCTCTGGGATGTCGTTTTCCTCATCTCCCACTCCCTCTTTCTCCCTCCACTAGAGCCAGGCTGGCCCCCTCAAACACTCCAAGCTTCTGCCTCAAGACATTTGCACTGGCTGTCCCCTTTGCCAGAGATATTTTTCCCCAGATACCCTCCATATGGCTCTCTCCCTCCTCTTCCTCAAGTCTCTGCTCAAACGTCCCCTCTCAGAAAAGCTTGCCCTGATATCCTAGCACAACAGCTTCTCACTCTCTACCCTCCTTCCTCTGGTTTCTTCTATTTTTCTTCATAGTACCATCAGCACCTGACACTTTATTATATGTTTGCTTATCCGTCTCCTACACTATAACAGAAGCTCCACTGGAGTAGGGATTTTCTCTGATCTCAGAAAACACTAAGAACAGTGCTTGGCACACAGCAGCTGCTCAGTAAATATTTGTTGAATGAATGGCCTGTAATTAAATTATTAAATGTGTAATTGTCACTGCGATGTGACTCTCTCACGAGGCTGTGAGTCTGGTGAGCCCTGTGCAGACAGGGCCTCATCACCTCTCTGTTCCCAGCACCGCCCAGCACAGGGCACAGAGAAGATGCTCAGGGAGTATTTGTTGACTGAATGAATGAATGGCACCAAGTTAAGAAGTGTAGACTTTCTCTTGCGGGTACCCAGGAGTACACAAGGGTTTTCATCAGAAGTGTGAAAAGGTCAGCTCTGGGCCCTACATCCCTGCTACTCCTAAATGTGGTCCCTGTATCCTATGGGAGCATCCACATCCCATGGGATCATCCACATCCTGTGGGAGGAGAGACTTAGAAATGCAGTGTTGAAACCCGGGGCCACTGAACCGGAATCTGCATTTTATCAAGATCTCCCAGAGGATTCGTGGGCACAATAAGGTTTGAGAAGTGTGGCTGTGGAACATTGCAGGCTCTCTCCGTTCTGGGATTTTGCATGTGCTGTTCCCTCTGCTTGGAGCATTCCCGTCCACTAGAAACTCCCCCAGGAAGCTGGTGCCGATCTCTTTGTCATCATTATTTATTCATCGCTGGTGCTCCTAAACCTCAGGGGTTCCATGGGGGGAGGAGCTGTCCTGTTTCCCTGCTGCATCCCCTCCCCGCACCCAGCCCCAGAAGCCCACCCTGATTGATCCTCAATATTATTTAATGCCGGCCCACCCTCATACTTGGAGGTCTTCCGAGGCGCCTTTCCCTCCTCTAGGACGCCTGCCCTGACTCCTCTCCTTCCCACAGAGCCGCTGACCCACCTACACCCCTTTCTCCCCCAACCCTCCCGCCGCAGCGAGGGCACGCTGGTGTTCAAGCCGGGCGAGACGCAGAAGGAGCTGCGCATTGGCATCATCGACGACGACATCTTTGAGGAGGACGAGCACTTCTTCGTGCGGCTACTGAACCTGCGCGTCGGCGACGCGCAGGGCATGTTCGAGCCCGACGGCGGCGGGCGACCCAAGGGACGGCTGGTGGCGCCGCTGCTGGCCACGGTCACCATCCTGGACGACGACCACGCGGGCATCTTCTCCTTCCAGGACCGCCTGCTGCACGTGAGCGAGTGCATGGGCACCGTGGACGTGCGCGTCGTGCGCAGCTCGGGCGCCCGGGGCACCGTGCGCCTTCCGTACCGCACGGTGGACGGCACGGCGCGCGGCGGCGGCGTGCACTATGAGGACGCGTGCGGCGAGCTCGAGTTCGGCGACGACGAGACCATGTGAGCGCGCCGCGGCGGGAGGGAGCGGGGCTCCGCGGGGAGGCGGGGCGGGGCGGGGCCGGGAGGGCCGGGAGGGGCGGGGCGTGCCCTTCGGTGGGTGGGGCCTTGCGGGGAGGCGGGGCAAGGCCCAGAGAGGGGGCGGGACAGGGGTGAGGAGGGGGAAGGCGGGAGAGACCGGGTGCGACCAAGATTCAGGGACCGGACGCGGGAAGGACTTGGGAGAAAGAGGCAGGTTTGAGGAGAGGAGGGTGGACCCGAGGAGGAAGGGCCAGGTGAGGCGAGGGAGAAGAGGTAGGAGAGAGGCCTGGGGACAGGAGGGTAGAGGACTGAATCGGTACTAGTGGAGATGGAACGTGGCCTGGGCAGAGGGGCCTCGAGGGCAAGAGGGGGCGTCCGATCGAGGTGGGACGGTGCCGTGGAAACGGAGAGGCAGCAAGGCCTGAGGCGGTGGACGGGGTCTGGGGAGGGACCCAAGGGGGTGGACGGGGACAGCGGGGGCGGGGCCTACGGGAATGGGGCGGGGCGGGGTTGTGGGTCGCGGGAAGAACCTGGCGGCACCGCGGGACCCTTGAGGGCAATGCGGACACCGAGTAGGAATGTGGGGGCAGGGCCCGGAGAGACACTGGATTTGCGGGACTGGGGTGGGTCTGGGGAAGCGGCTGGATTCACACACGCTGGCGCGCACAGAATCCGCGAGCCACAGACACGCTCGCTAACAGCGTCGGGGCTGGTCTCACGCCCAGACACGCGGCCGCCCCCTTACACAGATGCCGAGTCCACCCCCCGCCGCCCGCCTGGATGCAGGCGGCACCTCCCCCTTCGCCCGCTGCCTTCCGCCCCCGCACGCCCGTCTGTCTCCCTCCTCCGGCCGCCCACGCTCCTCCCACCCAGCAGGGCCCCCCCGCGCTCCCTCGGCTCCTCCTCCCCGCCCCGCGCCTCGGCCTCCGCTCAGCCTCCCGCTGCTCTCCCCGCCCCCACCCTCCCTCCGCGCCTCCGCGTCTCTCGCTCCCGGCAGTCTCTCTGGGTCTCTGTTAATCTCTAGATCTCGATCCCCATGTCTAGCTCTCTGACTCGGGTTATGTTTCAGTTACGGACTCTCCATACCTTCCCCCCCCCCCTCTCTCTCTGGCTTGAGCTAAGAACTTGGGTTGAAGGCTGAGAGCACCAGCCCAGATCCCGTCTGTCACATTCAAGAAGCAGGGGGAATGGGGAGAGTTGTCTTTCTGCCCTTTCTGGTCCTTCCTGTAGTCTAACTCGCCTCCCTCCTGCTGCTGCAACCCCACAGGCCCTCTCCTCCCCCAGGCGGCTTCCCCAGGCTGGGCGCCCTCTGCCCCCACTCATACCCTCGCCCCCACCCAAGCTTCCAGCTGTGGCTTCTGAAGGCAGAGTACAGGAGGCTAATTAGCGTTTAGGGAAACACATCCTTCCTCTCACGGGCTGGCGCTAATTAGAGGTGCTTGGAAGCAGCCCCGCTGGAGGGGGCCCCAGGCAGGACTGGGCAACACTGAGGTGGAGGAGAGACGCCCAGAGATGGAGTGGCGGGGAGAGAATGCGACAGAGACAAAGGGAAGACCTAGAGAGAGAGATGGAGGGAAAGAGTCACAGAGAGAAAGGGACAGAAAGAAACTTTCATTCAGAGGGAGAAGGAAACAGAAATATGTGGAGAGAGAGAGATTAAGAGGATACGATCCAGGAAGCCTGAAAGGAGGTGAGATGCAAGGAAGAAAGAGACCTTCTTACTGAGAGAAACTCAGTGGGACTCAGGGAAGGAGACGTCCTCTTGATGCTACAGAGAGAAAAGAGTTTGGGTCAGAGCGGCACAAGAGGCAGGACATGATGGAGACTGGTCCGAGATCAGAGGCTGCAGAGGGTGGGAGAGTGGGGTTTCCAGGAAACAGAGAGGGCAGGCATGAGGGCAGCAGTGTCAGGCTGGGGAGAAAGGCTGCTTCCTCTGATCTCAGGAAGTCCTGCTTTTGTCTAGCTTGAGTCCCTCATGCTGTCCCCTGCCAGTTGGGTTTCCCCTCCCTGGGTCCCCCGAGGGCACGTGCCTCAGGGTGCCAGCTGGCGCGCGTGTCACTGCGTGTCAGTCACCACATGTCAGTGGATCACGGCGTGTCTGTGAGAGACGGAGCGTCGGAGGTGTGTGTGTATCACTCTGTCAGCATGTCACCCAGGTCGGCAGCTGTCTGCATGTCAGGGTGTGTGCAGAGAATGTCTCCAGAGACCCTGCGTCTTGCCACGGCATTCCAGCACCTTGGACAGCTCCCAGCCCACTCCTGAGGTTGGGGGCGGCTATTCCTCTTCACCCACAGAAAATTTAAAATATCCTGAGACCAGGAGGGGGTGAGGGTGGAAGTGGGCACATGTCCCCACATGACTGTTTTGTGTGCATCTGTCTTTGCATGGGTGTCGCTGTGTCTTGTGCGTCTGTGTGTGGAGATGGGTCCATTGAGAGACTGTATGATTGAGAGCCTCTTGCTCTAGTTGTGTTAACTTTGGCTCTTCCATTCTATGGACACCGAGAGACCAAGATGGGGAGAGAAGAACACAGATAAAGAAAGGCAGAGAGCTGGGGAGGAGCCTGAGACAGAGAGGGTCAGAGATGGGGAGAGAGACGGAGAGACTGAAGGGAATAAAAATAAACAGACACAAAGAGGCATAATGAGTGAGATATAAGGAAGAAGAGTCTACATGGTACCACAGTGGGGCTCTGCAGGTTGGCGAAGTCGCGAGGCTGTGGTGGGGGTGTTGTGCTAACAGGCATCTGGTCTGTGCGATTTTGCCACTGCATAGAGAATGGCTGCGGGGTGCGATGGTGTGTGGGTGTGGGCGGTGTGATTGGCTGAGCTTCCTCTGCTGGGTGACTGTGTGGGCTGGGTGTTTGTGTTTCTGGGTTCTGAGGCCGGGCCTCAAGGTTCCTACAGCTGAAAGAGCTGCTAGTGGCAGGGCTGTGGGCTTTCTGGGAGTTGTGGGTCTTTGTGAGTGAGGAGGAGGGGTGAGTTGTGTGCCTGGAGGGCACGGATAGCTTCTGGGTCTTCCTCCCCAGTCCCTACTGCTCCCCAGTTACCATAGCAGTGGGGATGCTGGGAAAATCAATTAACACTCACTTAACCCTCAGAATGCGGTCAGGGCAGAGAGCAGGAAGCAGAATGTCTCCTGAGTGGAAGGATTAGAGTTAACAAATGTTTCTGGAAGGCATACTATGTGCCAGGCACTGTTCTAGGCATTGGGGATACAGCAAAGAACATAAATGAACAAAGGTCATTGCCATGGCGGAATTTACATTTTAATGAGAAGAAGCAAGTGGCAAAGTACAAGCAAAATAAACACACTAAGTGGTATGTTAGAAGGTGACATGCAACAAAGAAGACATAGAACAGAATAAGGGAGCCAGGTGTGCTGGGGTTGGGGCAAGGGTGAATTTCAAAATTAAAGAAGGTGGTGGGAATGGGCTTCATTGAGCACATGGACTTCATGTTTGAGCAGGGATCCAGGGGAACTGAGGAAATGAGCCTGGGGGAAGACTGTTCTAAGTGGACAGAACAGTCAGTGTAAGGGCCCTGTGGCACAAACAGGCCTGGCATGTTCAAGGAACAGTGAGGAAGCCGGTGTAGCTGGAGTGAGTGAGCAAGGGGGAGCAGGATGGGGAGGCCAGAAAGGGACAAAAGGCCACATTGCATGGGGCCTTGTTGGCCATTGTGAGGACTTTGGTTTTTATTCTGGCTGAGATGGGAACCATGTGAACATTTTGAGTACAAGAAAGACCTACTCTTGTTTCTTTCAAGCAGGGATAATAGAGAGCCTTCCTGGGATGGGCAGTTATAAGGATTAACTGAAATTATGGAGCTTGGTTTGGAGGGGTGCTCAACATAATGGGCTAGTGGGTGAGTCATCTGGCGATCTGGGGAGGGGCCTTATGCTGGGTGCTCTTCCTCCTCCCACCCTCAGGAAAACTCTTCAGGTAAAGATAGTTGATGACGAGGAATATGAGAAAAAGGATAATTTCTTCATCGAGCTGGGCCAGCCGCAGTGGCTGAAGCGAGGGATTTCAGGTGAGGGGTGATGGTTGGGCTGCGGGAGAGGTAAGGGGTCCAGGATGGGAAGACCCGGGGAGGCTCCGTTAGAGGGTGCTCCTTCAGGCTCATGGATCTGAGCTTCTCAGGGAAGCAATCTCACCTGCTCTCTGTTTCTCTCTGTCTCTCCCCCCAGCTCTGCTGCTCAATCAAGGTGAGTGGAGTTTGCCTCTAGGCTTTGACTAGTGGGGCACACTGGAGGGAAGTCTTGGGAGAGGGTCATAGCCTCAAGCTACCCTTCCATGTCATGTTTGAGGCAAGTTAGAGGTGAGACAAAGGCAGATTTGGGGCTTTGGAAGGTTGGAACTGACATCAGAGTTGCCGGGGCCCCTTGAGTTTGGAGTTATATTTGGGGGTTTGGAGGCCAAGATCATGTTTTTATTTTGTTATGTTCTGAGAGAGAGAAAAGAGAGAGAGAGAGAGAGAGAGAGAGAGAGAGAACATGATTGGGAGGGCAGAGGGAGAGGGTGAGAGAGAATTTCAAGCAGCCTCCACACCCAGCACAGAGCTCAGTGTGGGGCTTGATCTCACAACCCTGAGATCGTGATCTGAGCTGAAATCAAGAGTCAGAAGCTCAACCAACTGAGCCACCCAGGTGCCCCAAGGTCATGTTTTGTTTGTAGTTAATGTTGGGGGGATGATAAGTCAGTATCTCATCCGGGTTTATGGTGAGATCAGATTAGAATTGGGGTCAGATTTATGTCAAAGTCTAGGTGTGGGTTTGACCAAATGAGTTTGGGGGAATTATGGTTCAAGTTGGGGCCAGGGTCAGAGATTGGGGTGAGGGTGGGGTCACTGGCTCAAAGATAAAGGACAGAGTACTTTTGGAACAAGATCAGGATTGGAGTTTGGGTTTAGGATTAGGGTCAGACTAAAGATCATATTAGTCAGGGTAAATAATGGGAGCTGCCATAACAAATAGGCCCCCCAATCCCAGCAGCTTAACACAATAAAGCCATTGGTGGCAGAGTTTTCTGAGGGTGTTCCTGGTGGGAGTAGCTTTCCACTGAGAATTAGGGTTAAGTAGGTGCTAGGCTTGAAGCAAAAGACCAACATGCTTTGGGGAGATAAGTGAGGTAAGAGCTACCTATGGCTGGGTCTGGGTCCAAGTTTTGTACCAAAATTGGGTATCCCGTCTTTCCTCACCACCCCAGCTACACTCAAGAATGTTTTTCAGAGCTTAGATGTAGAGACAAAGCCTCCTCCCACAGGGATGGTAATGATGATGATGGTTGTGATTTTTAACAAGTATTTATTTTTTAAAAAATATTTATTTATTCATTTATTTATTTATGATAGACAGAGAGAGAGAGAGAGAGAGAGAGAGAGAGAGAGAGGCAGAGACACAGGAGGAGGGAGAAGCAGGTTCCATGCCGGGAGCCCGATGTGGGACTCGATCCCGGGACTCCAGGATCGCACCCTGGGCCAAAGGCAGGCGCTAAACCGCTGAGCCACCCAGGGATCCCCTTAACAAGTATTTAAACAGTCCATTTTGGACTGTTTATTGTGTGCCAGGCACTGTGCTAAGGTGCACATGAATTAACTTCTTTAACCCTCACAACCACTGATAAGGTAGCTACTATTGTGCCTGTTTTACAGATATGAACACTGAGATACAGAGAAGGTCACGTGGCTCCTTCCATATGAAGCCCAGAGCCCACCAGCTGAACCTCATAGACTAGCTGGGTCTTAGGTTGGGGAAGATAGTGATCAGATGGGACACTGGGGCAGGCTGGGGGCATGCCATCAGGAAGCCTTCCCAAAGGACAGCAGACAGGTTTTCTTTCTCAAGAGGAACAGATAGTGAGGACACCATTGGCCCGGTGAGGTAGGCCTCCCTGGAGTTTAACTCCCATCCTTCATGCTGCAGGGGATGGGGACAGGAAGTTGACAGCCGAGGAGGAGGAGGCTCGGAGGATAGCAGAGATGGGCAAGCCAGTTCTTGGGGAAAACTGCCGGCTGGAAGTCATCATCGAGGAGTCATATGATTTTAAGGTGACTTTCTGGGTCCCCAGCTTCCTGGAGTCTTGCCTGAGTCATTTCCTGGGGGAGGGGGGTCCAGGAGGAATCAATTATGAGGGTCATAAGGGAGGGATGGCCAAGGGTCCGAGACCATCCTCCCATCCCTCTGCCAGCACCATGGACAGTAACACTCCCTTTTCCTTTCTTGCTGTGAACCAGGGTATGGGGGCATGGGGACCCCTGAGCATGGGCTGTGAGTCCCAACCCCAGTGTTCTGCAGGGAGCCTCAGGGGTACCCTGAGGTGATCATGGGCAATGATCCTGCTTTCCCCCTGCTTTCATCCTCAGAACACAGTGGATAAACTCATCAAGAAAACCAACTTGGCTTTGGTGATTGGGACCCATTCCTGGAGGGAACAGTTTTTAGAGGCAGTTACGGTGAGCGCAGGTAAGTGGGGAGGGAAGAGGAAGAAGAGAGAGGGAGGGAAGGAGGGAGAGACAGAGGAATGGGGAGGAAGAGAGAAATATGAATAGAAAGAGAGAAAGAGCGACAAAGAGAGGACAACACGTTAGAGGAAAAAGAACAAGAAAGACACAGACAGAGGAAGAGCTAAGGAATGGATACAAACAGGAGACACAGATATACAAAGAGACATGGAGACAGAGAGAGAGAGAGAGAGAGAGAGAGAGAGAGAGTCAAGTCAGTAAATTGCAAAAGGCCAGAGAGAGAGACACAGAGAGAAAGATAGCAGGAGGAGCTGAGGGAGGGGCAGACCGCCGGGGCTTTCTCATCAGACAGCCCGAGGGTGGGACCAGGTTAAAACTCTTGGCCTCCCCAGACAGCCTGGGCTCCTCTGTTGCCATGGAGACAGTCACCAGGACACCCAGCTCACTCCCACCTGTGCCGGGAACCCTTAGGTCTCAGGCGGGCCCATACTGCCCCCCTGTGGCCAGAGACACCATGACACTTGCATTCACAGGCTCAATCTTGGAGACCAACAGTGGCCCTTTGTGATGCCGATAGGAGAAATTGAGGCCCAGAGGCAGAGGAGGGACTGGCCTGAAATCCCCCACAGGGACTTCACGTGGAGCTCAAGCCTTCTGTCCCTTACACAAACCTCAGGTTTCCTTCAGGGAGGCCTAACTGGTGGGAACTGAAATCACACCAGGGATTGTGGTTGATGCGTAGGATCAAAAGCAACGTGGCTTTGAAGATGGAGAAATACCAGGTAGTAGACCTACAGACAGCAGCTCGTAGGTCCAATAGAAACAAAGTGGTGTCTTCCTCTGAAGCCACATTCTTTCCACATCTATTTCTGAGGGATCCTCTGGACTCAGCCCTGTGTAGGACATTGCTGGGGACAAAGGGATAACCATGACAGATGACAGCATGGGCCTTGGTTTCACAGAGCTCACAGTCCAGTGAGGGAGACAGACCTGTCACAAAATGACCAGAGTGGGCAGGGCTGGGACAAGGGACCCGAAGTTGCTGCAGGAGCCCAGAGGGACTATTGACTCAACCTGAAGGTCAAGGAAGGCTTCCTGGAGGAGGAGGCTTCTGAGATGAGACTTCAAATTGGAAGAGGAGTTAGCCAGGAGAAGGGAGAAGACAGTGAGGTATTTCAGGCAGAAGGAAAACCAAGTACAGAGACTGGAAGTATGCCGGGTCATGGCACATCTGGGGAGGGTGACTAGTTTCAGGAGTGAAGAAACAGCACGGGATGTGGCAGAGTCTAGACTGTGCAAATCCTCACAGGCCACGGTAGGGAGCTTGGGTGTCATTTCGGTGCATGGGGTCCCCACGGAGCATTCTGAATAAGGGAAGTTCTGGGCGCTGGAGGGAGGCCGTGGAAGGAAGAAGAGGCTGGGATGGGGCATGAGTTGAGGCTGCCAACCTGTCAGGAGATGGGCCCTGAGAATGTGATGAGGAGATGGGGCTTCAGTCCAAGAATGCTGGGGAGCCACCGCCCTCCCTCTGGGCTTAGTGGGAAGGAGAGGGTGTGAGACGGTGGTCATGAGGGCCAATGTGAGTCAGCCGATGGGTCTGTAGAAAACAGCTGATTGGATCAGAGGGAGTAGTGGAGCGGGGGAAAGGGAAACCATGGCAGAGATAACTAATCATCCTGATGGTGACAACGATGATGGGGACTATGGAGTGCCAGGCAGCTTGGAAATCCATTTCCTGTATGACCTCATTTAACTGATGTTTCCCAAGTATCTGGCTCGGTGCTTGATCATTTTGCACTTTGTTCAACAAATGCCTTTCGATTCTTGATGTGAACACAAAGCTGCTTGAGGCACTGCCAGAGAAGGGTGGTTCTCACCCCCTTGGAGGATGAATCATGGCCTGTCTTGCACTTAGAGGTGCTTTTGTATTATATCCTTTACCTCCCTGCCTTAACTGTAATAAGCTGTTTGCAGGGTGGCCTTGGTTTGGAGCATCTGTGAATTTCCCCAGGCACTGGAAGAGCCTTCAAACAATAACCATCACACTGAGAGGTGCCAGGCTGCGTGGAGAGTACTTTCCGCGGCTTGACTCATGTAGTTATCGCAGCCTTCTCTTGAGGCTGGTCCAGTTCCTACTCCTATTTCTCAGATAGGCATCCGGAGGCTCAGAGAGGTTAGGACACTGGTTCAAGATCACACTGCAGATCCAAGGTTTGACAGCAGAGAGGTAGCTCCAGAGCCACAGACGTAACCATGAGGCTCCCTCTATGGGAAAGGTGGAGGAAGAGCCTCCCCTGATGGAAAAGGCCAGAGAAATGAACAGAGGCCAGAGCCTGCAGGTTCTCAAATGCCAAGCACAGGAGTATGAGCCTGGGTGTAAGGGCAGTGGGAAAGCAAGGCAGGATTTGAAACAGGGCAGGGAAAGCCCCCGAAGATGCATTGATAGCAGCCCCTTCCCTCCCAGGAGTGTGTTCTGTTCTCCCCACTCTGACTTTGGCCATGTCTCACTGTGGCCAATTTGGAATGCGCTCAGCAGCAAACACCAGAAAACTCAACCACAGTGGCTTAAGCACACTAGAGTTTCTTTTTCTCACAGAACAAAGAAATCTGCAGGAGGCCATAAGGAATTGGCAGCTCAGTAACATCCTTAAATGCCCAGACTTCTTTATTTTTCTTCCCCACTCTCAGTGGTTGCCATCATGGTTGCAAGATGGTTGCTGCACCTCCAGGTATCAAGTTCACATTCCAGGCAGGCAGAAAGAGGAAGCAGGGAAGCAAGGAGGGGCAGGGGGCCTTTTACATTGCAGCTGACAATTCCATTTACCTGGGGTCACAGCAAATATCTCCTTATTGGATATGTAGCATGAAGAACCAAGAAAGCACACGAACCACTTAGTCAAGCATTTACAAGTTCAAACATATATGTATTTATTTACCAAGCCAAGAGGCTAAGTGGCTGGAAAAGTGGGAGAGGGCTATATGACCTGAATTCCCGAATCCATCCATCTGCCTCTGTCTCCACTGCCACCAGGTATCCTCTGCTTGCTGACATTCGGGGTGGAGGGAACTGGGGTTGACCAATGAGAAGCAGCCCATGGCTTGGTGGCTGGCCTGGCTTTTCCTCCCTGACTTGCTCAGTGTGACCAGTCCAGGGTTACCTTGTTCCTTGTCTGTGTCCTTCCGGATGTCATTGTGCATGGCCACTTGAGTTGTTCACTACTTCTCATTCATTGCTTCGTGATTCTCAGTCATGGGCAGGGTAGACAAAACATTCCATTTGTGCTTTCCTGTTACAAGCTACTGCAGGTCAAAAGCAAGTCAAATTCAGTCACAGGACATGACACAAACAACTCTCAGGGTGAGTGAGGCATCCTTTTGCAAAGGTCAGAAAAACAGATTCGTAACACAGTGCCCGTGTCCACACACACCTGTGGGTGTGTCTCACTGCCAGACTGGGTCACATGGCCACTGTTGCAAGGGATTCTGGGAAGGCAAGTATTTAGCTGAGGACAGGAGTGCCACTAGCTGCAAGGAATTCCAGGAAAGTGAATATTTTGTCTGAGGACCTGGCCTTTGCTGGCCCAAAGGCATTCTGGGAAAGTGAATAATGTTAGCTGGGTGTCTGGCGTGCTCTAACTGCAAAAGATCTGAGAAAGCAAACACTGTTAGCTGAGTATGTGGCTACTGTTGGCTGCAGTGAAACAGAGGAAGTCAAGATTTCTAGCTGCAGAAATGGCTGTCCATAGATGGTAGTTGTAAAGGCTTCTGGGAAGGGGACTCTTTTTTTAGCTAGGCATGTGCCCTCCCTCCCTCACAGCAAGGGATCTTGGCATGCCAGATATTTTTAGATGGGCACATAGCCTCTAGCTTCAAGGAATTCTGGAAAAGCGAATATTTTTATCTGGGCCCATACATTCTCCTAGCTGCAAGGGATTCTGGGAAAGCATTTAGTTTTATGGAACTCACTGTCTGGAAATTGCACAAAATACGGGAGGCGGGGGGTTGTCTGTAGGCGAGGAAGAAGGAGGCATGGGTGTGTGCCCCAGCTGGGTCGTGTGCCCACAGGGGACGAGGAGGAGGAGGAGGACGGGTCCCGGGAGGAACGGCTGCCTTCCTGCTTTGACTACGTCATGCACTTCCTGACGGTGTTCTGGAAGGTGCTTTTTGCCTGCGTGCCCCCCACCGAGTACTGCCACGGCTGGGCCTGCTTCGGGGTCTGCATCCTGGTCATCGGCCTCCTCACCGCACTCATCGGGGACCTGGCCTCCCACTTTGGCTGCACCGTTGGCCTCAAGGACTCTGTCAACGCTGTAGTCTTCGTGGCTCTGGGCACCTCCATCCCTGGTAACCCCCTGGGAAATTGCTTGTTGGGGTTGAGTCTCAGAGAAGTCAGACAGTAGAACTGAAAAGAAAAGTTCTGCAGATATTAGGTGGTAGAGTCATACAGAGCCCATATGGTGGGTCCCATAGAGATAGGATGATGGAGCATAATAGAAACTAGGTGACGAAGGTCCTGTAGATTCAATATGCAAACTGAATCCTCCCCAAAAGCAAATGGGTAGAATGTCCCATAGAACTAAGGTGGAGAGAAATGTAGAAACCAGACAATGAAGATTCCATAGAGAGGGAGGTGAGGCATTGAAGAGAAAGGTAGGAGAGGGGTCCCATAGAAATAAGGTGGGGACTTAATGGTTCCATCCAGTGGGTGCCATAGAAACAAGATCGTAATTACCTTTCCCTCGAGAAACCACATGGAAGATTCCATCGAACTAGGTTGGTGGACACGACAGGAACAAAGCCAATGAGTCTCAAAGCTTTAACTAAGATGAGAGGGCAGAGTCAAAACCAAATGTTGGGGAGCGATGCCATAGAAATAAGAGTGGAGCCTCAAAGACTGTAGTGTATGTCCCATTGAAGCACAATGGCCATGATCCCCCTCTTTCCAAATGAATCTGAGGGAGGGTCCCTTAGAAACCAGGCACCTCAGTCAGAAATCCTTACAGGACTGGGAAGACCAGATGTGGGGAGCCTGACACCTCCCTCCTCCACCAACCCCCATAGGATGTGTTCACCTGTCAGGTGGTGGCGTTGTAGGCCTAGAGAGCAGGCATTGTGAATGGTTCTCTGATGCCCCTGCTTCCTGCCAGAGATCTGAGTCACTAGTGAGATGTTCAAAAGTGGGCCGAGGCCATAGAAACCGGGCTGTTTGCTTGACAGAAACCAGGTGGGGGTTCCATGCGGATGGAACCTAACACTTATTTTGTCCAGCCAGGTGGCAATGGGATGATTGGCCCAATAGAAAGTGGGCAGCAGGCCCCATGGAATGCAGCGAGTCTCGGCCCTGCCTCCCCCCAAATCAGACAGCGAGTCCACAGGGGAGCAGGCAGTAGATGCCATAGAAAGGAGGAAGTGGATACCTCTGAATGCACACGAGCCCCCTAGAAAGCAGGCAGCGGGTCCTGCAGAGGGCAGGCAGAGGGACGGTGACCCCCTTTGCCTTTTGGGTGGGGTCCAGGGCCGCAGGCGCGGACTGGGCAGGCGGCACGGGGATGCTGTCGGGCCTCGGGTCTCCGGCCTCGGGCCTCGGGTCTGGGGTCTCGGGGAGGGCAGGCGTCGGGGACCGGCCGAGCCGCTCTGACCGCCCGTCTGTGCCCACGCAGACACGTTCGCCAGCAAGGTGGCGGCGCTGCAGGACCAGTGCGCGGACGCGTCCATCGGCAACGTGACAGGCTCCAACGCCGTGAACGTGTTCCTGGGCCTCGGCGTGGCCTGGTCGGTGGCCGCGGTGTACTGGGCGGTGCAGGGCCGCCCGTTCGAGGTGCGCACCGGCACGCTGGCCTTCTCCGTCACGCTCTTCACCGTCTTCGCCTTCGTGGGCATCGCCGTGCTGCTGTACCGGCGCCGGCCGCACATCGGGGGCGAGCTGGGCGGCCCGCGCGGCCCCAAGCTCGCCACCACCGCGCTCTTCCTGGGCCTCTGGTTCCTCTACATCCTCTTCGCCAGCCTCGAGGCCTACTGCCACATCCGGGGCTTCTAGGGCCCCCCACCCCACCCCGAGAGACTCGGCTGCCCCCGCTCCGGACCCGCGTCCTCTTGGTCCTCCAGAGATGCAGCCTCCTCTCCTGGGACGCAGCCTCCCTTCCTCCTGGGAACTGTACCCCCGTCCTCCGTCCCCACGAACATCCTCCTCCCTCCCATCCCCTCAGGAGTCTCCCAGAGATACCCACGACTGCAGCACATCCCTGTTAGCTCATCCCTGAGATGTCCACACCCCCGGGGACATCTCCACCTCGAGGCCCCTCCCCAGTAACCTCCTAGAGAATCTACCGTCTGTCTACCCTAGACACTTAGCCTTCCCCTATCCCTTAGGACCCCCTTCCTCTAGAGGACCCTCCCCATCACCACCACCACCACCTGTGCCCCAGGACCTCGGAACCCAGCCCTCCCTGGGGGACCTTGGAAGGAGGCTGATCCATCCCAGGATGTCCCCAATCTCACCTTTCTCCCCAACCCTCAGGGAGCTCTGTTCAGCCTCCGGGGGTGGGGCAGAGGAACAGGTAGGTGCGTGCATAGGGGGCCACAACTTCCCTGATTTCTCCACTCAGGCCCTTGGGAGGACACTAATCCTCGAGGCTGGGAGAAGTTTGGGGTTTCAGAGCTGGAGGAGGCACATATGAACCTGCAACTTCTCACATTCCAGCGCCACCACTTGCCTCCACTACCTCTGAGAGCCCAGCTACGCCTTGGAAGGGGAGAGGGGGCCTGTGTGTATATATAGTGTGTTTGGGGAAGGGGGGACGTGGGAGGGTGCATGTCTTGGGGAAAAGGGGTGACAGACTTTCCTTTTGTGAGGGCAGCAGACTCCCCCAGCCATGAGAATTGGCTTTGGGGAGGAGGCCAGGAATCAAAGGGAGTCCAGCCATCTCCCCTGACAATCTAGAAGGCTCATTTTGCCCTCAGTGCCAGCCAATCCAGGCAGGACCCTCGAAGAGGAGACCGAGGGTCCCAGAGGACCAATGCTACAAGCCAGCAAATGCTGCCACATCTCTGCCTGATGGGGAGCAGGGGTGGGTGGGAGGGTGGGGCTGGGACCAGGGGGTCTGGGTGGGCATTTTTAACTTCGGAGGCCACCCATCTGTTGGTTGGCCATCTGCATTTTCTTACTGTTGTTTCCTGCCCAAAGGACACACTTGGGGTGTGCGGAGTGCCGCCCACTGCTTGGGACCCTGAGGATCACCTTACAACCCCCATAACGCCCTGCTTCCCACAGGTTTTTAGCGTTCTATCGTCCTGTTGTGCATCACCCCAATATCCCAGACCTGTTACCCATTCCCCTTTCTCTACTCCTAGCTCATCAGCACCAGTCGCTGTCTCTTCTCTGTGATTTCTGTAAAAGTTGCCATAAAAATTTGAAATTCTGCCTGAAAAACAGCCTTCCCGTGAGAAGTTGGGATTCTAGAGGAGGGAGTTAACGAAGTCTCTGACTGAGACTTGGGCAACTGTGGAATAGACCAGGTACTCTGGGTTTTTCCATGCCCCCGGTCCTCTGCAGGACACCCACATGCACCAGCCACACTGGAAGTCCACACTTGCTTCCCGTAGCCACTCCCCGATTCGCCACCCCATTTTCCCTAGCCACGCCCCCGCACGCGTCACCCGGGAGCCTTCCTAGCCACGCCTCCATTCCACCAGCCACAAACTATTCCTTTTCACTGGGCTTCCTGGGAACACAAAAGGGGAAGACCCAGATTTGCCTGATCAGAGGAGCTGGGGCTGATGGGAGTTTCCTGAATAAAGCAAGTGATTTTCTCAGAATCCTGAAATAGAAGGAGGGGTGTGTGTGTGTGTGCGCGCGCGTGCCAGTAGGTGCGCGCTCTTCTCCAGGAAAAGGGCACAGCCTACGTAAAGGTGTGCAGACTTGCGAGTTACTGGCTTTTTCACTCTCCTGCCAGCGGTTAGCATGAATGGAGCATGGGTTGCATGGGGGTGGGGAGTGGAGAGAACTCAAGAGACTTTCACAGCCCACTCTAAGGAGTTGAGAATTTATCTCAAAAGCAAAGAGGAGCAATGGAAGGGTTTTAAAGAGGGGAGGGAGGCGAAGGGCAGGCAGTTGATGTCTGATTCACATTTTCAAACTTTCCTTCTGGCTGCCTGTGAGATTGGAGGCTCCGAGATCAGGGAGGAGGCTGGGGCAGCAGAGGAGGTGTCCTGGGGTAGGGAGGTGGAGGTTGGAGGGGTTATAGCAAGAAGGGGATGGTTTGGAAGATAATGGATCAGGCCAGATGAGGGGTTTTGGAAAGAGCGTGCAGGCGGGGCCCTGACAGGAAAGAAGTGGTGCACTCCAGTGGAGTAGTACATAAAGTAGCACCTTAATGAAAGGACTATTAAGGGATTAGGGGGTGGACAAGGTCAAGGAAAACAAGCCCAGGAAAGGCGCAGTACCGCGGGGCCGGCAGTAGAAGGAGCAGTTACCACCTCCCCTACCCGCACTTGAAGGTGTAGGAAGAGTTACCTGAAGCTGCTGAGACTTGGAGCTGTAGCTACAGGGAAGGCCAGGGGCATGGGCGCCCAGGACCCACACTCAAGAGAGAAGGGGGCTGGAGAGTGAACACCCCAACTGACTCTCCTTCCGCCCATCAGTCTCCTGTGGGTGTCTCCCATGGGCTGAACTCAACCAGAAGCTGGAGGTTAACAGTTCAAGGCATAGGTCAGCCTCTTGGGACACAGCATGACAGAGAAGAGTGGAGAGTGGATCTGGGAAATTGAGCAGTGAGGTCTCTCCCCGGTTTGGGAGTGAACGTGGAGACAAGTATGGGGAATGGCTTTGGAGAACAGGCTGGCTTCAGGTGAGTACATGCTGAGGGTGATGCCGATGGGACATCCAGAGATGTCAGGGAGGGGAAACATCCAGGGGACACCTGGAGCTCAGGAGAGGGGGAGGTGCTTGAGATTTGGGATCTGTTGGCAGTGAGGTATCACCAAGCCACAGGGGGAGGTGGGGGGATGCACATGAGGAGCCTGGGACACCTGCCGATGGAGGACACACCAGAAAGGTAGGTGGGAAATGAGGAGACTGGGGCACCTGAAGACCAGAGATGTTTCGGGAAATGAGGGCATGGTTGACAGGGTCAAAGGTCATGAAAGGTGGAGGAAGATGAGCAGCCAGAAGTGACCTTGGGATTTAGGACTTGACAAGGTGGTTTGGTGGAGTGTGTGCGGGAGGGCGGTCAGGCTGATCTGGACTGTGGAGGGAGTGGAAGTTGGGGACACAGGTAGAGCATGTAGGTCACATTTTGGAGAATCTTGTAGAGAAAGAGAGTGTTGCTGGAGGAAGATATGAGCACCCCCCCCCCCAAGGTGGGAAGAGGTGTGGAGCAGCAGGGCATCGAATGCAAGGGCATAAGAACATCTGCCGGACAGCCATTCCTGAGAACAATGCCAACAGCTCCTGGCACTTAGGGAGAGGCCACTGTGCTGGGCCTTCCTAGGGATCACCGCCCTTCTACAGGAGGGAAAACAGGCTCAGGGAGGGGATGCAACTTACCCAAAGTCTCGTGGCTAGGAAGGGCGGGATCATGAGAGAGGATGAGGCCCAGAGTGCCAATGGGACAAGGACACCCCTGTCTTTTTTTATATATGTAAAACCTTGTGCTTTTTTTTATTAGATTTTGTTAATTTATTCATGAGAGACATAGAGAGAGAGAGAGAGATTGAGGCAGAGACACAGGCAGAAGGAGAAGCAGGCTCCATGCAGGGAGCTCAAAGCGGAACTCGATCCTGGGACTCCAGGATCATGCCCTGGGCTGAAGGCGGCACTAAACCGCTGAGCCGCCGGCGCTGCCCTACCTTATGCTTTAAAAAAAAAAAAAAAAAAAAAAGATTTTATTTATTGGAGAGAGAGACAGAGATAGCAACAGAGAGCACAAGCAGGGAGCAGAGGGAGAAGCAGGCTCCCTGCTGAGCAGGAAGCCTAATGTAGGGCTCCATCCCAGGACCCTGAGATCAGGACATGAGCTGAAGGCAGACACTTAACCCACTGAGCCACCCAGGTGCCCCAGGACACCTCTGTCTTACCAGGCTGAACAAGGACAGTGGTGCAGAGGCAAGGAAATGAGTGAGCCTGGTGCAGGAAAATGAGTAAGATCTCAGCTTCAAAGAGAAACATGTCCAGAGCTTGGGACGTGGATGAGATGAAGACCATCCTACCCCAAAGTCATGATCCTTCCCTGGGTGCTAGGAGTTCCAAGGCAGTCAGCTTGGGAGTGGTTGAAATTACTTGTCATGGCAGGAGGCAATAGCACAACGATTTCCTCTCTTAGGACTTCAGTTCCCTCATTTGGAAAATGGGGTCAAGGACAATAATAATGAGGACGAATGGTGCAGGGCTGTAATAAGTTATATATATTTTTAGAATAACCCCTAGCACATAGTAAGAGCTCAATAGGTGGGAAAGTTGTCCCTTTGAGATATTTCCAGCTTGCTCACTTTTATAGTTCATATTCTCTCTCCCTCCCCTGCCCACTTGCACATGGGCACACACGCCCCACAATGGCCATCCTAGAAAAGCCTCAGAAGGAACGAGAAATGCAGACTCCCTATAAATCTGCTTTGCCATCTGAGTCTCGGTTGCTAAATCCCAAACCCAGGGGAGGAGAAATGGGGAATATCCCTCCTCTCTCTGTGGCCACCAGACTCTTTCATTCACTTTATCCAGCCTGTGCCTGCTCTGTGCCTGGCATTATGTAGGGGCCACTGCGGCGACCAAAGTATCCCTGGGCCCCGCTCTCACCTGGTTCACCGAGCAGTGGGGGACACATGCCAAACATGGTGCAAGAGGGGGTGGTCAGGCTGGGATCTGTGAATGGAATGACTGTAGCAGGACACAGGTGGTGGTGAACTAGGGGACCGGAGCTGGTATAAACAAGCAGGGTGCAGGGGAATGGACAAGGAGAAGGATGGTGCAGGAGTCTGGGGCTAGCAGAGGGGACAGCTAGTATTGCCCGGAGCCTGGCAAAGTGGGGATGGGGTGAGGAGTGGACAGTGACTTCCAGAAGCTGGAAAGGATGGCCACATGGAAAGGCAATCCCACAAGAGCTGTGGCATCCAACCATCCCACACGTAGGGGGTGAGGGTGGGGGGCAGTGGGAGGTGCAGGGGCGAATGCTTGACCTCACGCTCCTGGGGCAGGGCTCTACAGGAATCCATAGGACAGAGAGCCCGTGGATGCATTCCACTAGGCCACACTGTGGTAGGCTGAATAATGCCCCCCCCCCCGTAGGTCCACTTGCTAATCCTCAGAACTTGTGATATGTTCCTTGACACAGCCAGAGGGACTTCGCAAATGTGGGTAAGCTCAACATATTGCGAGGCAGACACTACATTCGATTACCTGTGTGGTTCCTAAGTACAACCAGGAGGGTCTCCAGAAGAGTGGGGTGGTGGTGACTGCAGGAGGACATGGGACAGGGGAAGCAGAGGTAGGCATTGCCAGGGAAGGGCCACAAGCCAAGGAGCACAGGTGCCTCTGGAAAATGGAGAAGGCAAGGGAAGACTTCTCCCCTAGAGCCTCCGGAATGAGCGGCCATCACCTCGATTCTGGACTTCTGGCCTCTGGAACTCTAATACACGTATGTTGTTTGAAGTCCCTAAACTTAGGGTGATGTGTTACAGCAGCAACAGGAAAGGAATACAGAGACTTACCGAAGCCACCTAATGCCAACTCCGATCTCTCTGGACCTCAGCAACATCAGCATGTAGTAGAAACTTCTCGTGTCTCTGGCTACTAAATGCACTCACTACATGTAGGGATGTTTCCAGCCTTGAGAGTTCATGTCCTCCAGATAGAAGCTCTGGATCTCACCTTCCCAGCCTCCTTTACAGCTGAGACATGGACACAGGACTTAGATCCCATCAAACAGACTCCCCAGCAGGAGCCCTGAATTCCAAAGGAGCGCCTTGCCCAAGGAGGCCCCCTAGGGGACCCATGTAGCTGGTGGGAATGATGTGACACAGGCACCCTCTGACGTTGGGAGGGCTCGGTGGTTGCAAGAAGGAGCACA